ATACCAAACGGAACCAGAGGTGCAAAAAGAACTGAAAGAATTTTAGACAGTACTGGATTTCAATATATTTTGGTTCTTGAAGCATATGAACATCCTATATAGCACTCAAGGTTATCAAATGTACTTTTGGTGTAGCAAATTTTAGAATATTCTTACCTTATATTTATTCTGAGAAAACTGTGGTGTTAATGACTCTGTGACTTTTTAGTCCGCAAGCGAACTGTGGTGTTAATATGTTAATAGCTGAAATTATTCCAGGTACCTTCTGCATATATTTTTCATGCACCTTGCAACCTCATTACTTCAAGGGATGGTTGAATGTCAGTAATTTTCTCATTTGTTCACAGATAAAGAGCCAGAAATGAGCTACAAGAATGGCTGAAGATAGCATAATAATTCTGATAACATGTCTTGCACTCGTCACATTGCTTGTTATGGGGCTAATGCTTGGTTACATATGCATCTTCAGACAAATATGTTGTCCTACGACTGATGATAAAAGTACAAAGAGGTGGGGACCTTTCAGCAACAAAACTCAAGAGGTGATGCAGATGGCTGACATCAGTACCACGACACATATTGAGAGTCTCACAATTGAGGTGGACCGAACATCCAGTGCCTCTTGCCACAACAAGACATAGTGATGAAAAACATCAAAGAAGTGTGACACCAAAAGACATGGAAAGAACTATGTAGGATTTGAGGTTATGAAGATTTCTAACTTATGGGATATAATGCCATGTAGTCTGCTGAAAGTCATCCAACATTTTTGAGGAAAATGTGGCCTTTATCTTCAGGGTCAAAACTAGATGGCAAGCAGAGCTCTGTTTGCCACCTCCTTTCATGATGCTTTCTTGCTTGGCTTATTCTTCAACTCTGAAGGTGGAGGTGACATGCTCCCTGAAACATAAACTGACTTTCAATGGACTGCACAATGTTATATCCCAGAAGACAGAACTCTCCATTGAAATCTCTGTTGTTAAATAAAAATTATTGTGGTCTGGGGATGTGACACTGTGTAGTCAGAGATGTGTACCAATATTTCACAGGTAAAGGTAAAAAAAGGTAATGCTATCCTTGAAAGGGGCCATGGAGGCCCATAGGGTTGTGAGATGTCAAGGCTCCCACATTCTCTAGACAGTCAGTGGTGAGGTTGTTAGCCTTATGTGTCAGCTGCCCTTTACCCCAAAGAAGATTCCTGGTACTCATTTCTGTTAGAGGCTAAGTCAATCCCAGGGCCATAGTATGGTTTGAAGGATTAGGTTAATTGAAAAATCCAACGACTTTATCAAGAATTGAACCCGCGACTTTCTGGCTTGTAGCACAGTGTCTCATCCAACTAAACTACTGCATGCCCAACATTTCACAGGAATGTTGGTAAACATCTATGTGGCATCACACCTCAGAAAACAGTAATCCACATACTAGCCATCATGCAAACCTCAAAACCTCACATGCTGTTAAATATATTGAATTTTACGTGTATTGCATGGCCTGAATAATGTAGTTGTGAACAAATGTCACTGTCACTCAAAATTATACATTTTTATATTTGTTACTTTATAAGCCAAGTATCCAGACTTTTAAAGAGATATACATATAGAATGGAAATGGATAATTTTGTACATACAGTGATACTCAGAACGATTTCTTAATTCCCATTGCAATATGTAAAATGGATGAAAATCAAACATAAAAGTATCTTCATGTTACTGTTTTGTAATATTTCTATCATTAAGTTGGGGTAGAGGCTCAAAAATTGCTGTTTATATAGGATCACTGACACAAAATGTTTACTACATTAAATGCTACAAACTGTATGAGGTCTGAATAAATTAAATTTCATTAATTGATTTAATGGAACACAGTCCTTTTAGTGACAATGATAACCACTCAACTTCAAAGATATTTCCTTGAGATTAGACCTTGATGATGGGAAGAGAGAGAGTCCCTGAAATGTCAGTGATTTTTAACCAACTGAAGTGGTTGACAGTCCAAGATTTTATCAATATATTTCCTGCCTCTTACGAACCTGAAACCTTATTACTGTTTGCAAGAGCCCACCAATGGACACTATCCTGAAGCTTCTCAATACGGTACACACCGTTATATTAATTTCTTTACAATTCACTTTCATATAATTGTCCCATCAACAACTAGGACTCCAAATGGTCATGTTCCATCAGGATTTTTTACTAAATTAAATATAACCAGCAAGTTACTAAGCTGGGCAACCAGAGAATATAAGCTTGATCCCAGGAAGGCATAGATTTTTCTTTGTCACCGTGTCCAAAATGTCTACAAGACCCACTCAGTGTGTCTGTTCCTGTGGATAAAGTGACCAGGGCAAGAAGCCTAACAACTCAGCTAAATATAGTGCCACAGTTATGAACATATCAGCTGTATTTCCATTCCTTCATACATCTTCATGGCATGCTGCTTAATTAAGCATAAGGACAAATTTATCTTTTGAAGTCTTCTATCTGATGGGATAAAAAGCTGTGAGTCTGGTGTTACATTCCAGGAGACAGAACTCTTCACAACATCTGTGAGAACCTCAAACCTAACTTTAACTTAGTTTTTCCATCTCTGCCACACGCGGTACAGGTCCTCTGCATCTCACCCTCTCATTCAGTTACCCTAAAAAATTTGACAAAGTGTACAAATTTTGGTAGCTTGTTCCTGTTACTTCCTCTCTCTCTTAAAGCCAAATATTTCCCTTGCCTTTTATTCTCCAACTACCTCAATATAGGGCAAGAAACAAAGTTCCAAACATACAACACTACACATAAATTTGTAGTTTTGCATAGTGTATTTTCATGTTTCAGATTCAAGTTAGGAAACTTGGAAAAGAGTCTGAACTTTACAATTTAATCTGCTCTTAACTTCCTCATGTATGTAATTTTGTTGATCTGTTACTGTTACTCCCAAATATTTGAACTTTATCCTGTTTTCAAAGTATTTATTAGGTATCTTTATAGTAAGTGATATTTTTGCTACACTGTGATGACAAAATATGAGCATATTCCATTTTCACTAGACCTGTCTCCTTACTGGTGTTTAATGATGTAATGTGTAGTCACAGTGACTAAAGATGTGGGTTTGGATTGCTTATTGGATTTATTAATAATCTACAGGTCGTAACTACAATTATTTATTATACTATTGCTGCTTTAAACAATGTACAATCACTCCACACTAATCTCTTCAGTCCATCTAGTCTTCACGGGTTTATAACACGATAACTATAACAGTCTCACTGAATCATACACTCCAAATATTACACACAAATAAAAGTCTTCAAATCACACATTAAATCCTCACAGGCTGACCACCTGTAGTCTTCTGTACTTCTAGTTCCAATTCACTCTGTTCCCATGCTTCCGCCACTATTACTATTCTACCTGCTTAGGAATTCTGCTCACTTATATGGCCAAGGAATGGACCTTGACCAACAGTAAACATGTCATGCGATCATTATCCACTTTTGTAACATCACTGTGGGCATGGAAAAAACAATATCCTCTATTGTTGCATACCCTAGCAAGGGACTGTGTTTACAGAGCTGTGGCCTGACAACATGTTGATCAAATCTGTTATGACAAGTTTATTTTATTTACATTATTTATGTTTCTGTCAAGTAAACTAATATCATCTGGACTGTCCATAAGTCAAAGTGGTCCATTCAATTCCAAATTTTCCTTGATCTTCCTAATAATGTGTAAATTAACAACCAAAAACAATAATGCAAAACTGCATTTAAAAAAAATACATCAGACGAATGCGTACCTATAACATATTTGTATGGTCTTTGTTTAAATACATTTTAATTAGTCTAACAAGTTTTATGTGTACATCAGATTCAATAAGAATGTTGTAAAATACTTCTCTTATCTGAGTAATAGGTTTTTCCAAAGTCTCTATCTGCTGACGTTCTGTTCCAGTGAATGCCCATTCAGGACTACAGGTAACCCTCTCAGAGATGGGAGAATATCTTCTTTTATGTTTTACTGCTGAGGTAGTATTCTCAAGTTATAAACTTGCAAAGTAGGATGGCCTGCAATTTGAAAAAGACTTCCAACGGCATTTTCCTTTTTTAATGAATATGCTCGAACTTTGCAGCTCTCAACAGTGACTTCCATATGGAGGGCCACTGTTTATTTTCGAGACTGAACAGGAAGTACCAAGTGTCTTCTTTTGTAACAATTTTCTGGAGAAAGCATGGGTTATCTGCTGCAATTATGAATTTGCTAATGACATGTATGTGATTGTCCAATTGTTCCTGTATGAGTATTATGGGCATGGTGTATTTGCAGGCATAATACAATTTCTAAGCCTTACTGAAGAATGTGTGGCAACTGCTAACTGAAATTCTTCTCTTCTCTTCAATCATCACAACCACCACCTGCAAATTTCCCATACTCTTCTCATTCCATGTTGATACCGACCACCCTTTCACACTATGCTCTCCTATGGGATTCACATGCCCACTAGTCTAGCGGCAATTAAACAAATGTATGTGCATGTCTCAGCAGGCATGAGTAGTCCTGCCTACCTGCCATAATGTCACAGCATCTGTTTTGTCTCAGAGCTCTCCGAAGCCACCAAATATCTGCAGACTCTCCTACAAGCTGTTCCTCACAGCATTAATTTTATTAAAATGAAGCACTAAATAAAACATTCTATCATATATGTAAAAATACTTTCTGATTTTCATCTCATATTCACTGAAGACATTTATTTTTTAACATATGAACAACTATCAGCTTCTCAAAAAGGAATCTACGTCATGGAGTTAGTGCAACTTTGTTATATTTCATTATAGTTATTAGCAAGATCTGCAAACAAGCTGTGCCATGTGTACATGTATCTAAACACCAAACATAGCAAGTGCCAATATTCGTATCCCAAAAATAACCATCTGAGCCACGCCCATACTGGACCCACAAGATGGGTGCTGTTTGAGGTTGCTAATTCCAAATATGTGTAATAATTAGAAATGCATTTAACAGCAGGCATTTTAATTCCTGTAACATGAGATAATTTCAAAAACACTTTTACAAATATACCATAAATAGTGAGTCATATTTGCAATACAATACTAAATTAAATATATATTACATGGCTACACAATCCTTTGAAGCAGCACCACATTCACTTTGCTAATCTCATAATCCAATTTCTGATCTGTATATAAAATTACAATTTTGGTCATTTTCTGTTTACTGAAAGTAATTTGACAAATACTACAAACACAGATGGCAGTGTTTTAGGAGCTGCAATGAATGCTGGCTATAAATGTACAGGAAAAAAGGGTGGTGTTGCATCAAAGGCCGGTCATTTAAAATATGGCATTCAGGAGGTATTCACCTTCTAAACTGGTTAGAGAAATCAATGTGACTAGATATAAAGTCAAACAAAAGCTACAAAAGGGGCATATTTTTAATTTCTTAGAAGTAACAGATAAGTATACTGTATATTGTGTAAAAGCAGTAAATGATAAGAATGACAAAATTATCTGCTATTATCTTCCCATCAGTATTTGAAGAATGATATGGCACATAAGGTACTTTATTTCCATTTAAACTCATGTAATGCATTTTTGGGGTCCCCATATTCATTTCAGGTCTCTTATGCAAGTCACACATTTGTATTTTCAAACAATGTTACGTTTGGCAGAAATTAACTGAAAATAAACATAAAATCCAAATATGCCACAAGAATAATTTTTAAAAATACAACTCCTTGAATTTGTTCCATTATAATGAATGTAATTTAATCTCTGTTAAAGTAATATGTTGACTTCTGATACATCTGTAAAGCTAATTTTATGAATTACCACAATTACAGACTTTTTCAGACATACTTTTGACATTTCTTGGCTGAGAATAATACGCACCATAACATTTTGTTATGCAAATTGTATCAAGTTTTAATTCAGGGATCACTGCACCAACACCTATCTGAAGAGAGACTACTTTATTCTGGGCCTTATGATGCCTTTCCTTTTGATTCTTTGGCTCTCTCATTGGCCAACATAGTGGCAGTATAATAATATATTTCCATCTCCAATGTTGTAAAATTAGCACTTTTCATGATCTCTCCAGCTGTATGAGCAAAACTACCCTGCAAGAAAAAATAAATGGGAGGGAGGCAAAGGAACAAACACATGAAGTTTAATAAAATCCATGTCAAAATTATATTAGTCATGCAACTCAGAACTTGTCTTAGAGTTCATGGTACATATAAACACATTAACTTATTCAATGTGTGAATTGGAATTTAATTTTATTTCTGTAGTTCTGCCATGAAGTTTCTGATGGCTGGTGGTTATTAATAGGAAGGTGCATAAGAATCTGACAGCTGTCACAGGGTAATTGTGATATTTGTCTACAGAGACTAAAAATCTGTATGCCAGCAGCTGTGTGTTGCAGCTTATGCCTTCAGGTTGAATCTCTGACTGTCCTGTTTTCTGCTCAGCGGCCTATATCAAAGCTAGAAACCCAAGTTTATGAAAGCACCCAATGAGCAAGATTTTCACTTCACTTCCACTGACAGGATAACAGTGAAGACAATAATGATGGCTAAAAAAATTCTGTGGGATCCAAACCATAGCATTGATCTGGTGTTCCTCACCTACCCAAAGTTTTCACTTTGACAAAGTGTCAAAGAAAGGGAAAGCATATACTAAAATCTGCATTGGCTTTGACTGGTCTCAAACCAACACTTTCAGCACAGAAATCCAGTCTTATTCACAGGCAACCAAGCAGTCTTGGGATATGATACAGAGATCATTTAAATACTGTGCACATATTCATATCATGACTCTTTGTATTAGAACTCCATGAATTCATCAAATGTAACTGGTCCACATCTGGAGCATCATGATTCACTTCCAACTCAGGGGAACTATCCTAACTGGGCTATCAGTTCATACAGCTGCTAAATTCTGTGATAATTCCCTTCATACATGCCAAGATTGCTTCCAGCCCAGCCTCTCATCACCATCCTCTCTCCCTGCTTCTGTAAGTCTCCAATGCAGACACAGAACTACAATGAAGTTGCTCAAATGCCTAGACATAGCATCCAGGGATTCCTATGATAGAGGTCTGTATGTTTTGGTGTTGTTAGCTCAACATTTTCAAAACACACACCACTACCAAAATACATGCCACAAGGTACAGTTACACAAATATCAAAGATATCTAAATATGTAAGATATGAATGACTACCTTTATACTACACTGCATCTTGTATCAGTCTGATTTTATATCTGTGAAAAAGTCTAAATAATTTATGTAAAACTAATGTAAAGTTTCCTTTTATAACTGTCTAAATTCTTCTGAAAGTGGCCAAAAATGGATAAAATACACTGGGCTTTATGACCACTTATTGACTAAAAGAGGATGCACTACATGGTACCTCTGAATTCAATGTAAACAATGCACCAAAAATAATGACCTCCATTAAAGTGTCTATACTGCTTCCACATTGCTCCTCCCTATCTTAGGTCCTGCATTTCAATAATACCTTGCCCTTCAGTTCCTTGTATAATTATAGAAATGGCCCTTTGGTATTCCTAGAATACCTCACTACAAGGGCTCTGACACTATATGCACATTAATTTTTATTTTAATGTCAAAGTCAGCTAACATTTTCCCCTAAAAGCTTTCTTGAAATATCAATACTGTAACTTGAAATAAAATATACTCAACTGTGTGGCTTAAATTTTGCATGAAGCATATCTGCTATAATCGCAGATTTATCCAGGACAGTAAAATCAGTCTGTGTTAGTGAGCAAACAAGTTAATTTGTCCAGAGAACCAGGGGCCCACCATAACATGGGACCACATTAAGATACCCAAATTAACGTTTCATGTAAGGGTGAGAAATTGTAAAGGCACTTAAAAGGCTCAGGGGCAAAAATATACAAGTGTAATGATACTGAGAAAGTCCATGAAATGATCACATTTCATTCCTCTGTTTTATGTTAATATTCTCTTTGTTTCAATTATCTCATTTAGCTTTGACTTTTTGACATTACATTTAAAATTGTGTTCACCTTACTGCATTCCCAATAGTAAGAATAAATATGGCTAATTTTATAAATCATTTAAGAAAACCCCTGTGAGGAAATCTAATGAGACAATCCATGAATCTGATTTCAATACATTCCCTCTCTACTTACAAAACCCATTTACAGTGAACAAAACTTCAAAGAAGTTGAAATTATACAGCAAAAATTACCCTTCTTAGTGGATGTTTCTTATACTATTCCAGGAAGTACAAATTTAAATATTATTTTTCAAAGAATATGAAAAAGAAAAAAGAACATAATAAACTTATGTATTATTTGTAGTATGCAGACACAGGTATTGATTCATATAGAATTTCCATTACTCCATCAGGAGGACCTGTTTGTTCACAGCTAGAAGACACTCACCTGCACACAGGTAAAGCTTCAGTATGTTAAAAAGATACATAACCTACAAAACAACAGGTTATCCCATGACTAATAATAAATACATTTCCTAATTTTATATAATATTCTGAAACCAGATTCTCATAAATTTAGAAGGAAAATAAAATCCACTGTAGTACTACTATACCATGACACACGGTCTGCCCCGCGCTTCCAGTTAGACTTCTCAGAAACGGAACTTTGCTAAGCTAGGATGGATTTAATTTTAATTCCTGAGCCATCATACAAATTCATTCTACTTGCATGCACTGTAAGATAAGCATATTATAATGAATACACAGAGGCAAGCAACAGCATAGCTCAACTGTCTACAGATATCATTTTCTTCTTTCTCATTATGTTGTAAACCATGGTCTTATTCTGTATCTTACCTGCCATTTCTAAAATATGGACAAACCCTTCATGATAAGTCCTTTTAGAAAAAAAATGTCTTTAGAGCAAGTAATATGGCTACCTACTACTTATATAGCATAACTTCATCTCAGGATCATTGCATTTAATGCAAGAGGAAATGAAAGAAGAAAAAACAATCTTAATCACTAAATTAGTAAACATGTAAAAGATCTATACTTAAAAATGTGATACAAATAAACATGTATATACTGAACTGAACATAAATAACTAAACCAATAAAAATAAAATACATCTGAAAATCACAATCCAGAATTACTTCATGTATAAATTATTAAGGGTGGGAAACTTACTGGGAATGAGAGCTCTAGTATTTCTGTAACAAAGACTTCTTCATAACAACAAATATTTTGTGGCCAATTTTCTTATTTCTGATAATTAAAAGAGCATACAATAAACATAAATTTACACTATATCAACAAAACTATTGTACATGCACTAGAACAACTGCTAGAACTGCCCAAGCACGTTTCATTCAAAAGCCAATTCAATTTTGTTCCTCAAATACTGCCCTTACATATAACAGTAGGGTCTCACAAATGCTGCCCATCTTTCACACCATAAATACACATACACAACACATCTTCATATCTAAAATTAATTTCCAGACTTTACCATATCAAACAGGGATTAAACTGTTTTCACGTTTCCACAAGTCTATACATAACACACGTAATGACTTTTCTCTTGAACAAATTCCAGTGACAATAAAGATAGATATTTTTGTGTGTTCTCACTCCAGTGTCTTGTTTCATTACATATCAACTTGGTGACACTTGGTCTGCAAACGTACACACTAATACAATTAGAAATATTCGTTTGCTATACCAAACAGATTTCTGAAGCCATCAGTACTATGAAACAGATGTAATGGAGACAACCATACCACTGCGATCCTGTAATCGAAAACTTGAAGTGGAACACACTTCTGATGCATGACAGAAGGGATATGAAGTTATTTGCGATCAGCTTTTGTGTATGCACCGTACCTGGGAGCTCTGGAAGTCAACATTTTTACCATACAAAACTGCAATCAAGGTCTCGAAAGTTTAAAAGAGTACATTACAGTGAAAATGTAAATGAAGTTCATGTGCTCTGGGATCAGAATTTCTCTATAAAATGAGTGTGCTTCATCTGTTTCTGTTAGTATATCAAATGGTAACAAAATCTGTATCAATATCAGATTGCTTACTTGGTTCATTAAATTGGAAGAGTAACTAATTAAGTTCAATCATAAATATTTTATATAGTACTTCTGTACTAAAATTGTAGTATTTCAATATATATTAGGATGGCAAGTTGTATTTTTAATTAACACTTCTTCAAAATTCTTTAAATAATAATATCCAAGTCTTAAATTTTACACTTTTATTTTCATTACACAAATGGCATGGCTATTCATACATTTAGTCTCTTCTAAAATCAATTCAACATCTCTCCAAAAATGTATGCAATTAGCAGATTTCTGGAGGTTCAGTACTACTGAATAAATACGAGCAATTATAAGCTACCAAGTTAAAGGATATATTGATATATTAAATTTATACTGATAATGAATTCTTTTTCCCAACATCATATCATACAAATTTATTGATATTAACCAACATTAACATTAATACAACTTCTGTAGTGTCCCATTTGGACACTGTTTATTTCCCATAGAAGAATGTAAAACAATACTGACAGTACTTGTTCACATATTATACAACATAAATATGATAATGAATGTAAAAAAACATTACCAGATGTCTGCAATACTTACTTAAATGCAGAGAGATTCAAAACAATGCAGTTTAACACAAAAATAAAATTCAAAATGAGAGATGAAAGTGGAGTGCATGAACTTCATGAATGGTATCAAAACAAAGAAATGGGTAGAGGAATATACAGAGGGAATCAGCAGTCTATCTTCAACTCCTACAGGGGAATTTCAAAGTTGACATCTAGTTTGGCATCTCTTGCCAAACTGACGATATTTGACAACTTGACAGATAAACGTGCTGCTTCATCCAAGTTGTCACATGCCAGTATCTTGAGCCCTGATGATGCAATCAGAACCTTGGCATCATCCACATTTGTGCCCTGTTGATGATGGAAAGAAACATCAAAAATTTTGTATCAAATGCATCACTTCAACACTCTGGAAATTTAACAATTACAATTTTCAGATTATTTAAAAAGGTTAAAAGCTTCACTTTGGTTAATGTATAATTTTAAGCTTAATACATTTTATCACACAATTTAGCTTGTCCTGAAACAATATAAACAATTTACAAAATTAAAATGGAGCAGTTACATTTACATATAAACACTCTTTTCAATGAGCAACTCTCATATGACACTTCAATACATGATGTAACACATATGACTGGATTTTTAAACAAGGTAGCAGAGGCTTCAGATTATGGTGGACAGGCATATAACACATATGGTTCATCCTCAGTACCTGCTGAAAGACTTACTGGAGCAATACTATAGAGAAATTTTAAAATGTATAATCTATTGGCCTGTTGACTATGCCATGTGCCTGAAGCCATACAGTGACAGCTGATATGGGAGTGTGACCTTCCATCTAGATCAGATAAAAGATCTGCAGCAGGCTCTTAGATAATCTCTCAGTATCATGGATGTATAGGAGATACAATCTTAGACAAAAGTAGATTTAGTTCCAATTTAATGAATATCTGCCCTTTGCATGTCTTAAATAAAGCCAGAAGTGATGTGAGAGAGCCACAAATACTAATGTGGGAGTATTGTTTTTTATTTTATAACTTTCTGGGGCTACACTTATGCCACTCACTATTATAAAACTTGCAAGAGCATCCTCTGATTCAAACCTGAGATAAAAATTGATGAATTTAAATTTTTTATACAAAGTATTACATCACAAATTCAAATCACTCTGTCCAATGTGACATATAAGTTTTACTACATGAAAACCTATCAACCCTTACATGTTTCGGTCCTTATGGACCATCTTCGGAGGGAACATCATTACAAGCTGGAAACTACTATCACAATAGGTGTTTTAATTTAATTACATACACTTGTCGTATAATGCACAGTATGCATAAAATTGAACGTTTCACAATCACAGTAGCTTCCTGGTATTGTAAAGTTTTTTAAAAAATTTTCTAGATGTTGTTTAAAAACTTATTGTCAATAGTTAAAATTTTATAAACCACGTAGGTTCGTGTCCCTACTCCTATCGTCCTTCTTGTATGGGGCAGATTTTGTGCCGCTGTCTATCTTGATAAGGTACTCATGGTACCATCTTATCCATGTTCTTTAATCTACTAAATTGCAAAAGGTGATGAACTTCCATAAGATCACGCATAAATTTAGGGAAAATTAGATGTGCAATAACTGTTGAATTGGTTAGTAAATTCAGTCCAAACATTTTTTGGGGATTTTAGAATAAAAGAACGATCTGTACAATTTTTATCCAGTCTGTATCATTTTTAAGCATCACCTATACATCCTTAACACAATGTTCCAACATAAGATCTACACATGACATTCTTTGTGCAGTAACAATTACCTATAAAACCAAACCAATATGAATTGTGAAAAACTTTATTTAGGATGAGAAAATGTATTTAACTTAAAGTAAAACTATACGATGACTCAAAACTTTAGTTCCTTCAAATATAGGGCTTATGTTTCAGACGAAAATTCTGAACTCTTTTTATTACATAAAAAATGGCAAGTTTCACAACTGGTGCAAATGTTACACTGATGCTTATTTCTGGCATTATTATTCATCTCTGGCACAAATATGTTAGATAAACAAAAATTACAGCACCATCTAAACAGAAATCCAATCTAAAGAAAACAAAATTGGCCATAATTTATAATTTCAGTATATTTCTTATTTATATTTACTATTAGAACACCACAGGATGAATTGATTCAACTATCACTGTGTGTTCAGATGACCACTAGCACAACAATCTTGCTTATGTGAACTATGATGATTATAGATACCTGTAGTCTGCACACGATAGGAACTTTCAGGTTAAGGTCCACTGCAGCTGCAACTATGCCTTCAGCTATGACATCACACCTCATAATACCACCAAAAATATTCACCATAATGGCATGGACCTGGCAGGTAAAACATTTTCAATGATTATATTCTAAATAAATTATAACAAATTAACTGATACAAGCTACAAAGAAATGCAACAAAATTTCATTACAAGAAACTTCAACATGCTTACAAAATGTATGCATTAAAAAATATTTAATTGAAATTAAAACTGGCGAAACCATGCATCAGAAACAATGAAAAAAATCACGCAAATACTTACATATTTACACACACATACATATGGAGGTAGCCACAATACACATCTCACATCCATACTTACTGCAAGAAACTTCAAGGCTAATTTTCCATACAAATTTTTACTGTCATTTTATGAACTAGCATCAACTAACTATTAATGAGCCAGATGAATCCAATCCAAAACTCACTTCATTTATCTAAAATTCATCTTAATATTATCACCACATCTACATGTAGGTCTTACAGAGTCCCTTTCCTTGGGGATTTCCTACCAAAACCCTGTATGCATGAACTCCCCAATTGCGTGCTATATTATCTGCCCATCCCCTTCTCCTTGACTTGATCATTCCATTAATATTTGGTGAGAATCACAACTTATGAAGGTCATTATTATGCTATTTCTGGCATAAAGAGTGTTTGCATGTGTGTGTGTGTGTGTATATAGCAAGAAGAGGAAGAAGAAGAAAAGTTCAGTGGCAGCGAAACAATTATGTGTAGCTGAAGCTCCTCGAAGATTCACTCATGAAAACAATCAAGTCCAGGTGATCATAACCAAGGCTCAAAAGCAGAAAATCAGACAGTCAAAAGAGATTCAGTTGATTATGTGCAGTGTTTTTGTCAGTTTCCACTTCAAAATTTGTATTACTTCTTGAAATATAACTACATTAAATCTTCAGAGATCATTCTGCACACTTGGGAAGATCGTTTGGCAATACTGAACTGAGTAACAAGACTGCATCATTTATGACAGTTCAGGAAGTATTTATCAAATCCTTTCACTCTTATGGTGGTTCTTGTGTTGCTGTGAAGAGACAATATCAGGAGTCTTCTGTTCATGTTACACCACTGAGGGACATCAATTGGATTGTTAAAGAGTCCGAAGAAACAGAAAGTATGCATGATGAACATGCAAAGGGCCATATATACAACACATTATTTGCATGGAATAAGTTGTCAATGTAGTACAGAACACACTAATAAGCATTTAGCACATGAAACTGCAATCTCAACCAGCACTGCATAAAAAATCTGTTGTGATGACTTCTTGCTGTTTCCATATAAAATGCAGACGAGTTAGCTATAGACAAAAGATGAATAATGAGACATTATGTTTTGCAATGAAGTATGAAGCTTATGTGTGTAACAAGAACAACATATATATTTCTCAGTTGTGTTTCTAATAAAATCATGTTAAGGTTATATTTTTATTGGTGTTCTACAGAGTGATGAAGAAGATGATGAGTGGAAGGAAGAGAGGGATGAAAGATAGACTACAAGACCTGGACTTTGCTGATGATATTTACCTTTAGCTCAAAGATTTAAAAGACATGGAACTAAAATGGCTTAATATCAATGTTAATAAAACTAAAGAGATGAAATTGAATGCCATGATTGAGGAAAAGCTGAGTATTTATGATAAGGAAGATGTTTACATACCTAGGAAGTACTGTTATTAAAGATGGTGGCTAAGATGAAGATGTAAAAAGTTGGATCAGAAAAGTCAATTGAGCTTTTATTCAATAGTACCCTGTAGGGAGAACAAAAGGACTAAACTCTGAATCTCCATGCGAAGTCAGTTCTCCTTTATGCTTGTGACATGTGGAAAGTTAGTTAGCAGATTGCAAACAGACTGTGGTCTTTATTAATTGTTGTTTATGGCAAATTATTAATGTAAGATGGCCAGAGACTAAATCACATGCAGATTTATGAAGAATTACAAAACAACAACCAATTGTAATCCAGATAAAAACGAGAAAATGGTGCTATAGTAGTCACACCCTAAGGAAACTAACTGGATCCACATAGAAGTCAGCACCAGACCAGAATCCCTAGTGTGGCTGTTTCAAAAAACCTGGAAGAAGGCAGTCTAGGAAGCCATTGATTGAGGAAGACATGGGGGCAAGGTTAAAAGAATTGCTGATAACATGATCCAGTGGAAGCATTTCACAGATGCCCTATGCTCCGGAGGGAGCAACAGGAATTAATTAATTGAAGTGAAACAAGACTGTTTTCACATATTTGGTAGCATTTGCTCTGCTGTGGCAAAGATAAAGTGAGATGCAGTCAAATCCATGATTCTAGCAAGTTATTTGTGTCATTAATTTTTAAATGGTTTTGTAAATATATTTTCCATCTGAAATATTCCAGTTTGTAAGTAACTTATATATTTTAAGAAGTAGTAGTTTTTAAATAACCTTGTATATACACTTTTTACCTTAAATATCCCAGTTTGTGATTAACTTTCATGTTTTGAGAGAATAAACACAACATACTTCTAATAGCACATTGTGAAACAGTTCATTCTGCAGACAAATTACACCTTTTATATGAACAGTACCTTTAGATTTCTTTTATATTAGTGTTTTTGTTAAAAGAGTTACACCTAACTTCTAAAATCCTGCAACTTTGTTAACAGATGCAGCATGATCATAGAAACTAATGAACATAAAGTTATGTATGCTTCAAAGGGCACCTTATTTTCTTCGGCCTTTTCCAGATGACACCAGACTGATCTGCAAACAGGCTGTACCTCTGTATTTGAACCAGAACTTTGAAATGAGAAGTGGACCTTATACATTTGTAAATTCAGTCTCTTATCAACTTGAAATTAACATTCTACACTTCACTTTGTACTAGACAGTATTATTAAGTACAATGGTACTTTCAAAATACCAGTGTTCAGGCAACGAGATTCAAAATACCTTATGTAACACAAAAATGAATTACTATAATAAATTCATATAAAATCATTTACTTTAGGATCAGCTGTGATAATTTTGAAAGCTTCCTTGACTGCCTGTGCAGTGGCTCCACCACCCACATCTAGGAAATTTGCTGGACTTCCTCCATGTAGTTTGATAATGTCCATTGTGGCCATTGCAAGACCAGCTCCATTAACAAGGCAGCCAATGTCACCTGTGGTGAGAAAATTGAATATCATATTTCATAAAGATCTTAAAGTTATGTTTTTTTTTTTAATATCAGGATTGTCTAAGAACATGACAGTTAAGAATTAACTCTTCAATTTCCACACACATCATGAAAAATTAACAAATTTACTCATGCAATTCACAAACTTCTTTACCCCAACACTCAAGTCTGAAAATTATGGTATATAAAATACACTGACAATAAAGTTTGCGAACTCAGTGTGGTAGAAGTTACATACCTCATTGCTGAATATCACTGTGATCGCCTTCAAAGTACTCCCCTTAGGAAGCTATGCACCAATGCCAGTACGCAATCCACCCTTCAAAATAATTTTGGAAGTGGTTTTGTGGAACAGCTTTCAGAGCTGCCACCATATTACTCCTGATGTTATCAATGTCATGAAAATGCCTTCCTTCCAATATTTCATTTATATTCGGGAACAGAAAAAATCACTGGGGGCTAGATCCGGTGAATAGGGTGTTCCAGCAGTTATTTGTTTGCTAGCTAAAAACTCCCTCACAGGCAGTAGTGTGCGAGCAGGTGCATTGTCATGATGCAAGATCCGTGAGTTGCTGGTGACGGCACACCAAACACACACAATAATAGATGCCACTCAAAAAGAGACTGCCTTAGATCAACAACAACATGGAAGTGAAACGCTGATACGCCAACATCATAAAACCATACTGAAGCTTCTGTCCCCTGCTGCCACGGTAAGCATGCGGTGGATAGCTTGCGAACTTTGTCAGACCTTGTATGCAAATACTATTGTTCCAAGTACAGTTTTATAGGTGAGACTGAGGGGACTGATCAATGCAATGTGGCAACAAAGTATGAAAATTCACACCTACAGATTTCATGACTCCTTCATTAACAATGACATGAAAAATCTCCCTAAAAATTTAGTTTGGGAAATTGTATCATGGATAAGAATAGATCATTAGAACAATAAATCAAATAAACAAAATATTTAAAGTTTTCACTGATATTCCTTGTCAAATAATAAAAATTTTAGCTACTTTCTGTGTAAGGAAGTCAAGTTCTTCTTTTCAATATAAGTAGATGAATAAAGTCCTACTGAAGCCATATTAATATTGGCAGTGGCTCCATTACGCCATTTTAAGCATCACATCCATACCAAGAGTGTCTTTACACGCTGAAACCCATCTATAATATGAACCTCAGCACATCAAAGAATATCCAGAGTTCCAGTATATTATGACATGTCAAACTGTTGTTGGGCAATGGGATGTGGAACGAGTTACCACAAAGACAAACTCTTGATAACTGGTCAGTTGCCAAGTGGCGCAACAGTAAGGAAAGCAGTGTTTCTCCGTGCTGTGCAAAGCCGAGCCGAAGCATGCTGGTTGCTACACAGTGTTGCAACAAACATCTCTTGGCAGCGTTGCCCAGCAACGCCTCTGTAAACACAGCGATTATGCAACAGTGAAGCAAGGTGCATTTTTTGCTGTCCGATTGAGGGTTTATAAGAAAAATTGGAATGCCTAAGGAGTCAGATGAAATGTAGCAGCCGCTGAAGACAGTGTTAGTTAGTATTTGGGACTATTTGGCAGAACAGAAGTCAGTCAGTCGCTAGAAGAAGAACTGAATGCATGATCAGAAGATTTTATGTGTGATAATTAGTGATAGTGATGATAACTGAGAGGGCATTGTGTACTGGGAGTGTGTAATTCTGTGACACTTGTATAGCTCCCATGTTATACTGTAAATAAGTGAAGACAACTGAAGATAGAGTGAATAGATTAGTGTGTAGGGTTTGTAAATTGTGTAAACCAGCAACAGCGTTATAATTAATTGTAGTTATGACTTGTAGGTTGTTAATAAATCTGACTAACAATCTGAATGGCGTCTTTAGTAGACAAAACACGTTACAATATACTACAATTCATAAAATAAGCTCACAGAACTATGTTCCCTGAATTTCAATGCATAGAGGATTTACTGTGTACACAAAATACATAAATCAAAACTTAATAATTACAAATTCTCAGTGCAGAAGCATGTCTTTACCATCAAGGGCAATGTAATTGAGATTAAACTTTGCAGCTTCCACTTCTTTTCCATCCTCCTGAGTCCAGTCTCTTAATGCAAAGATCTCTTTCTGCCTGAAGTCTGCATTATCATCAAAACGGAATTTGGCATCCAAGCAGAAATCTATCAACATGGAAGTTAAATCAAATAGAATTATTGTAAGTCCAAACACTATGAGATATACATTTCAAATCAGTCTTTCAATATAACATTTACCCAAATACAGGAAGACATTAAGAGCTGGATAGCCAGGGTTCAATTCCTGGCAGGGGTAGGATGTTTTTCTCTTCTTCACAACAACTAGAAAACAGCTCTGGGGCCCATCCAACCTCCTGTACAATGAGTACTGGGGGCTCCTTCCCCAGGGGTAAAGTAGCCAGGGTGTAGAGATGACCATTCTCCTTCACCTAGTGTCATGGTCAAACCATATTTCCACTCCCCCATATGCCATCATGGTGCAGGGCTTAATCAACTGACAAGAGGGACTTTTTTTACTTTATGGAAAGACATTTCATCCCCTCCATATGAAAAATCATATTACATTAGTATACAGAGATAAGACTCCCGTAGGGCTAATTTCTTTACATTATCAGTCAGTGTTCTTGGGTTATGGCATGCAAAGATGAGGATGACATTAAATAGTAAGCAATCTGTTTCACTGGGATGGTTGACTGGGCCATGACAAACTGGAACTGAGCAACAGCATAAAAATGAAACACTTTCATATGAGGCTGGAGACACCATAAGTCTCTCTCATGAAATAAAATGTATCTGGGTGATAATTCCACGAACAGTAGTAGAAAATTACTGGCAATAAAAAGCAACTTAGATTATGCGAACTAAAAGAGAAGGGTGGGGGATGTGATATTAACACAAGGAAAGTTCTGATATCAATGAAGCATATTTCTACAACAGTAAAATATACATTTGTCAATATTGACCTTCACATGACATATTTTATTCAAGTTCATATATTTCTTCATTAAGCATTTATGCTAAAATTACACGTTAAGGAAAAATTATAGACTCGTTTCCTTCAGAAGTTGATAGTTACTCTCCTGTCATGAAATTCACTAACTTCATGGAACCCCAGAATATATTAGTGTTCTGAAAAGCCAACCATTTGACACTATCATTCACCAGCTGAGTTCAGTCCACAATTTCATACCCTATTTCTCTCCAACATATTTTAATATAATCCTTCTATTCATGCAAATGTTTCCCAAGTTATCTTCCTCCTTGAGGTTTTGTAAGCAAAAGTTGCATGGATCTCTCATATACATAACATGTGTCTACATGTTCCACCCATCACATTCTAATTTAATCATCCGCATGCTACCAGCTGAAAATATTTTCATAATCTAGAAATGCTGGAATATGTCATGATTTAATATTGTATTACTGAGTTCAATGTAACCTGCTTTACTTACAGTTTCCATCAGTGTCTTCTGCATAAGGATTTACTTCTATAAGAAGAGCGTCCTTCTTAACAAATAGGTCATAAAGTCGAAATAACATATCTATTGTCCTAGCCTTCTTATCACCACCAAGTCCTAGTTTCTCAGCTATTCTCTCTGCCTGACTTTCAGTTATTCCTGAAAAGAAGAGAAAAGTGGGGGGAAACTCTGGTTACCTAATTTAAAAGTATAAACTTCTGTATGAATTCCAACCCATGATGAGTTCCTGCTAGAAGAAAACAAAATTCAGAATAGAATGCTAATTTGGTGATATGTACATCATGCCACTATACTGACAGCATCATTTCATAAAATCTAGGACAATAACTTCACTTATCAATGTACTGCTATAACTCCCAGTAACTCTACTGCTGGCTTACCTCCCAGTCACTTTTTTCAATACAACTGCAGTTTGCAGTATTTCAATGGAAGTAAAATAAACAGCAAAAGACCTACATATGTTGAAGAAACTGTCAAGGGTAATTACATGCAACATCTAGTCCATGATACAGGAAGTACTACCATACCTGACACCTCAGATACAGGAGCAAATGTATCAATAAAGAAGTCTGTGTGGATGGAGCAGTTTATGTACAACTTGTGTTACTTTTAGCTTGAGCCTTAGACTTAATACCAATATTTGCTATAGGGTCAGCAGAAAACAGATGCTTGTATTAATCTTAATTATACTTGGAGTCATACTTTCTCACATGGAAAGTTACTACTGTCAACACAAAACATGTTAACAGTTGGTTGACATGTATGGTGCAAGTCAAACAAAATTAAATATAGGTAATACTGTAATGNTCTTAATTATACTTGGAGTCATACTTTCTCACATGGAAAGTTACTAATGTCAACACAAAACATGTTAACAGTTGGTTAATGTATGGTGCAAGTCAAACAAAATTAAATATAGGTAATACTGTAATGTTCACTTAATAAAGTAAATGCAAGTTCCGGAGGTTTCTGAAGCTGAAACGATTCTCCATATATTAGGCAAAGCAAACACATTTCACTCTTGCCAACACAGCCACTTTAATCCAATAGCTGATTCAGCTCGTGGCACAATTGGTACAAATAAAATTATGTACTCCAGTAGTTTGATCTAATCTGTACAGCAATGAATAACAAGATAATAAGTATATTTCTGTAGTTTTTTAAGTAATCAGATTAAAAGAAACCCTCATAATTTCTGGCACATACTAACAATCTCAGAAGCCATGCATAACAAGATAATTACCATTCTAATATCACCAAATTCAGAGTAAACTTCAGACACCAAATGTTAGACATTTCCATACATAACCACAATCTCATACACACCTTCCATAATGTTGATGGGTTCGTAGTGAATGGCATCAGGATTCTCTGCTGCCACATCTTCAATATTAACACCACCTTGAGATGAAGCTATCACTACAGGACCCTGAAATATAAATTTCTTAATGCACTTAACAAGAACGCAAATACTGCAACAATATGTGAACTTATGCAGACATCTCTACATTAGTGCTCTGAAAACCAACTGCATTGCCCCATCAGATTTCAGATCGGTTACACAACCAAATCAGGGTCTGATTACCAGAAAGAATTTTTATTCTAATCTCATCATCTATCAAGTCTACAACAACTCTGTTCACCTAGTAAACAAGCTGGGATAAGAAAGACTTTCTTCCAAGGGTAAAAGCACCCACAGTATGATGCCGATCAGTATCTCCTTCTGTGCGGCAGTTTATGTCTCCAAGTGCCATCATTATTCATTCTGGCTTCTGTCTGCCTTGCTATGCTGAAAGCAGGAATCCATATTTCAGATGGGAGAGTCCAGTGGGAAGAATTATTTATTTTCCCCATTAACATATTACAGTAAAGAAGATGCCGCCTTCAGAGGGGGGGGGTCACTACAGCTCCACATCAGAACCAAAGCATGGCAGGAGCCTGCTATATCTCACATTTACAAAGTTTTGACAGAGCACAGGAATGGGAGAGGACATGAACATAAATGGTTCATCCTGAACCTGACACATCTTCATGGGAAATCTTACTTATAAATCTTCTTCTAGTGCCACAATCAATGAATGCTTGGAGATTAATCTTCATGACCCTCAGGTGAAATGGAGCTGTGAAGTGGTACCAAAGCAGAGAACTTCACCTTCACCTACACCATAATTTCAGTAAAACATATATAGGTCCTTCTTCGTCTTTCAACTGGGAAAGTCAATTAAGCATCATGACAAGTCTATTTCATTTTACTATGAAAAATTTTCATTTCATAATAATATTCTCCTTCGTACACTTAATTTTTTCATAGGCTGTGTTCAGTGCTTGCATTTTTCATGTCCTACAGCAACTACATTTTGCAGAAATGTATTTCAGAAGCTTATAAGCTCAGTGATTTCAGTCCGCAAGTAAACTGTACCAACTGAGCGACTGCCGCTTGTCTGCAAAGTTTAGTGCTAACTTTTGTAGATAAAGAGTGTCATGTGGTCAGCGTAATGAATCCCCACAGCCATTAATTTTGGTTTCCTAGACAGGAGCTGCTACTTCCTTGAAACAGCTCCTCAATTTTCATCACGAGACTGAGTGGACCCTGTTCCAGACCTACTACTTCTCAGAAAAAATCTTGTAGCGACAGGAATCAAACTCGGACCTCTGGATCTGTAGCCAGGAACACTGACCACTGGACCACAGAGGCGGTCTACTTCAGAAGTTTATACTGAAAGAAACAGTCAACTATAACTTACAGCAAATGCTCTCTCCATCATGACAGCAATATAATATTCCTTGCGTGGAAACTTCCGCTCTGTAACCATAACTGAATTACAGATACGTCCAGCTTCACCAGTCTGTTTTGTTACCAGGTACTGACCAATCATCTTTCCTGCTAAATCTGCTGCTTCCTCTGGCCTAAAGAAAACAAAATCAGAATGCCTATCCATCCAACATTTTACAATATAGTAATTTAACTCTTTACTTTAACCAATATTCTTGACAGCCATTTACAGAATACTAGCCTTATTTAACACAAACCCAAACCCTAAATTTCATTTATATTACTGTACACAAGAAAAATTACAAAGTGAGATGCAAAATATAATTTTACAGTGCAATGTACTTTGTGGTATGAGTAATTTTAAAATTCTTTAAAGCATGACTTTCTTTCTGGCAGTATATGTCATGCTATGCTGGTATCTTTCATAAAATACAAACAAGAAAATAAAGAATGTTAATAAAAACTTGGATGTAATATAAGTTATAATTTTTAAACTTTTTATTTTAATACTCTGATTACATTAACTTCAGATTCAGTGGTGATACTCTTTTTTCACACATACAAGTATTTGTCTAAAAATATACTACATTTCCACATCCCTTATTACTCATGCCTTATAATCAAACTCCTTTATGACTCTATATACCCTGTGCTGCCAAGGAAGTGTTCTTAAATAAACTGAAGGAAACAAAACAAGCGAGGACAACCTTTACCTTCACATGACATACATGCAAAAGAAAATTAACAATAGTCGACAGGCATAGAGAGTATGTGTGTCCAGCTGGTACTTTGCTCTTACTCTGTCCTGTTATGGCACCATACTCCATGATTGTACCTGGGACCAAAGTGCATGAAAATGTGCCAGACAAAGCACTCTTACAATGGGAGTTTGAGGATAAAGTGGCAGGGACATGAAGCTCACTTCATCTACTGCCAAAGTTAAGAATGGTGGAGCTATACCTCCATTCCTCCACATATCTGTATGGTGTAGTGTTCATTTAATTCAGTATAGTGAAAACTTTACCTCTTTTCTCTTTACAGTGGGAGTTATGCTGCAGTGAGAATAATATGAGCTGATGACACTGACGTGAAAGAAAGTCTGAGGTGGACATGGAAGGAATCTGAGAGGTTAAAAATGAAAGCCACTAAAAATATTTATCTTTTTAAAAAGCATAGAAGCAGACTGATTATAACCATCTCCACAGTGATATAAAATAAAGCAAAAAATGCTGTGTAATCTTATATAATTTTAGAGATTAAAAAAAAAAAGTTTACATTATCATGTACTTGAACCCCTTTAGCAAAAACCCACTTAACAACTACCACCAACTTGTTGCAGAATTAGTGTTTTATTTATGCTTACCAGGGCCAACACAAACCCAACATTAAACAAACTGAATTACAATACACGAGGGCATGTACGGGAATGAAAAAACGGTCATAACTCTGTAACCGTCCAAAATTGGACACATGTTTATATGAACTTTTTTGATCACAAACATCTAGGAAATCACCTCCTGCAGTTATGCCCTAAAGTCGTGAAACACCCTGTATACTAATCCATTACTGAATTCAGATTTGTTGAAGAAATGTAACAGTATGTCCAAATACAACTGTCCCATACAGTTACTATCCTAACAATTTCCATGCCAAGGAGTCAGTTCATTGCAGTTCTACATTTACTTGAATTTGGTGATATCTTTATCTTCATTTTTGACATCCACACATTTCTGATGAAAAAGCAGGTTAAGAAGTTGATTAAGCTGCAAGTACAACTATGAAATGAATGAGAATGGTAAAGAACTAAATTTTTATGTGTACACCAGTCTAAAAGCACTTACGTGTCAACCATTTTAACACCTCCTTTCAATCCATTTTTGAATGATCCTTTTCCTCGCCCACCAGTAAGTACCTGAGCTTTTAATACAATGCCTTTTACGTTCAGATTTTTTGCAATTTCTTGAGCTTCAGCCTTTGTCTTTGCAACACCAAATTTTGGTACTGGAATACCGGCATCTTTTAGAAGAGTGTAACTAATATGTTCGTGTACATTCAAATTTCGTTGCTGCTGCTGACCCAATTTCGCGGCTGCAGTTGCCCCAAGAAGCTAAAAAAAACAAAAAACAATTCAACATATATTAGACTAAATCACACGCATTCTTGTAAAGCAATGCAGAACCCGGTATTGTTGATATTATTTAGTACAGTGCACAAACACTCAGCCACGTTTTATAATCAGAATTGCAGTTTCTGTCATTATTCTCCTATTACTGCCAGTTAAAAAAATGAGTTCGAGTTTAAGTGAAATGACCTCCAATGACATCCACGTACAGTACCAGTTCCGGGCGTATCATACTTCGGGAATTAAACAGACATTCTCATAAAATACGGCACAGACATATGGCTATCATATATATGTATCATAATGATGTGCAATGTTTATCATATTAATGTGTCATATTTGTGCTATTTACCTTTGAGCCAGTTTTCCTAACCAAGGCTTCAGCTAGACCCGCCCCTCTGCACAACATGGTAGCCATTCTCTTTACCTCTTTACTACAGTTTAAAAACTGCAGAAGACTACGTTAGTCGGATTCAGCCCTGGCTATCTAATTAGGTAAACTGACTTTTGTCTGTAAAGTTACTGGAGATGGGTATATAAAGGCTTCTTAATTTGTATTTGTCGCTAAAACGCAGAAGGGCAACTTTTATGAATAAGATTGGATTTGATACTATATAAAACTCAAGATCTTCTGTACATGACCTCAGGTAGTTTTATTAGCCAAGTCCAATAAGCGTGCGTAGTTAAAAGGGCAAATTGTCACGTGTTGACTAGACACGAGGTATGAACTGATAACTGGAATTACTGAACGGTTAAAACTCATAACTACAAACAATTAAAACACTCTAATCTACACACTCTGCAGATCACAATAAAACAAAGTATTGTCACTCTATTATTCTACGACTGTCGGCATACAGCCAATTAATTCGTCTCGGCGCCAAGCCGATTGCGGTTGGCATAAGATTTTATCTTTTGCAAACTAAACATTTGCGTTCATAGTCATTATGCAACATCTTCTCTGACGAGGGGACGGGTTTAGGCTTCGCCTTTCTCACGTATGAGTTATAGCATAGGTTTGCATGGTAATGGGAATGCCTTTTCTTCCCAAAAAGTGGTCAGCCCGTTAAAAGTGATAATTTCGAATGAACCTCTCATGGAGCTTGAGATATGTCTCTGACAGAGCCACACACACATATATGTAAGTTCTGCTGCTGTTTACTAAGCTCAGCGCCGCCTTCAAATGTCACTGAGCTATATATGAACGCTAGTAGCAATTGTTGTCATTATGTTAAGAACAACTTTTAATGACCATTATTATTTTTTTTCTCACACAGCTTCTCTGAGCTCTCTCGTGATCTGTTGCACTACAGTGGCGATTTTAACATGTCGTTATTAGTCAGACTGAGTGCCTGTACTGACACCTGTTTTCTGAATTTCCTGTTGTGCAGATGCTGCTACAGGGAGTGCTGCACGATTCTTCCATCTGTCTGCGGTGCCTGTGATTGTTCGTATTGTATCTTGACGCAGTGCAGCTGCGCAGGACTGCTCTCGTGAGACGAACTTAGACAAGAACGTCCTCCCAGAGCCCATTATACTTCTCTCATTTCGCATGGCTGTAGCCTCAATATGACGCTGGATGAGGTTTCTCTCCTACTAGGGTGCAATTGCAGCAGCTCAGCATACATTCTGTACTTGTCCTTTCAGGATATTTCCTATGCATATGGCCACCACGACACCACAAACAGCGATGAGGTTGCAGTTGACCCAGAAATGGCCAAATTTTAGCATTTGTAGCACTGCGTAAGGCCAGTCTGAGCTCTGCATAACTCTACTTTGAAGATAACATGGTTAAGGCTATTCAGCTTGAATAACTCTTCAAAGTGTATGTTTCTTGTTAAGGTAACAAGGAACAGAGGGATGGGTTCTACATGGGTTTGTCCATTGGATGCTGTTCGAGTGGCTGTCATTTGCCCCATGTTGACGATGTTGAAGCCCAAGTCCTCAAGGCTGCTGTAAATGTCTTCCGCTGGTGTTGTCTGGAGAAAGGTGACGGATTATTGCCTTGATAGGCTTTTCGGAATTTGGTGAGAAGGTAAAATAGTGGAGATTATTTTTCTCCAGGTAGATTTTTATGGCTGAATAGTCCATAATTTCTTTTATTATGATACGGGTTCCATTTAATGTATTTCGGAACACGTACTCTCCTTTGATGCGTTCTTTTAAGTCGCTTTGGAGTCCAATGAGGTCTAATAGAAGTCATCACTATTTGTGGCGGCATGCCTGATTTTCTGGGAGCCTCCTGCTCTGGTAGTGTGTTCTCTGCTTCAGCAGTCTCCGTGTTCATGTCAGTAGTTCTGAGAGATGCGAAGAAGTTATGAGTTAACACTGCACTGGAGAAATCTTGGCAGCTGTGAGTGATGGGACTGGTTTAGTCGACTTCTACGCTGTCTGCGAGGAATTATTAGAGGCATGTCTCTTGCGTCTCATTACTTTCTTGTAGTCGTCCTGGGCTGTTGATTCCACTCGTCACTAGTCTTTGCTTGGTAGCGTCTTCTAACAGTGGAGACTGCTGGCTTAATTTTGGCCCCCATCAGGACCTATGTATTGGTTGCAGCAGAAACGTTTTTGCCGCTCCATTGCTTAGTAACAGCCTTTTCTTCTGGCTCCACTATTCCACCTTGCAGGCGTCGTGTTACAATATATTTATATAAACACACGAACTGGAGTGTTTGTTCTTATCTAGTCTCTGAGGTTTGCAGTATCTACCACCCATGTGTATGCAATCTCGAATTCCGCTTTTCTGTTTTTGAGCCTTGAAATTTAATAATGGGTTTCAGGCCCATATCTGGCCTAATGTTCCAGGTGGACACAGACCTAATTATGTAATGTTAAGACCATTTAATAGTCAATTTTCATAGTGTCATTTGCTAATCAAAACGTTGTTGGGACAGCAGAGAGCATTTAAAAAGGGGAGACCCCTCCTCTTTGTCACTGGCCCATCACAACATCCACTTGGTCCTACACGTATTTCCCTGCAGATGTTATGTCTATAGAGTTCTACACAATGAACTACTTTTTTTTTTTTTCAAATTGGAATGCACCCTCAATAATGTATATAAATTCTGTAGATGAAACTGTAACTCAACACAACATAAATTTCATACAGGCCACCACCAGAGATTATGAATTACACATTTTTATTTGGAAGAAGAAACTTTAGAGCATACTGAATTTTTCATACAACTCTAATGGCATACAGGTGCCTCATTTTACATGATAGTTTATAGATCTCAAAATAAATAAAAATGCTCATATGCTGTCACATTCTGAAAGCATCTTGTGTTGCATGGTGATTGCAGAGCTACATCTGACATCTCATAGGCCCTCCATTTTACCTACACAACTTACTGATCATGATTACCTTAATTTTCTTCAAACACACAGAAATGAGCTATTAGGAAATCTGTCCTTCAATACATGTCATCACACATGGTTTCAATATGATGGTGCTCCACAACATTACAGCCATGAAATGTGGCAACAGCTTGCACAAGAATTATCCTGGATGTTGGTCTTGGATATGAAGCTCTAGCCTGCGGGCCTGGACGCTTACCTGACTTGAATCCTCTTGGTTTTCTTTTCTTGGGATATTTGAAAACCAAGGCCTATGCCAGTAGTCAATACTTAACAGGAACTGTGGTGTCAAACTCAACAACTTAAATGAAATAAAGAATACATCGACTCTTTTAGCACTTGCAAGTTTCTTTTTCATACAGAGCTGAGTAGTTTGTTTGTCTGTAAATATGGATGCCATTTTGAGCGCTGCTTGTAAAAAAGAAAAGTTTATTTCTAAATCTTTTATGTCTTTTCTTCTTACATGTATTTGAAGGGGAGGCACAGTAGATCACTGTGGTCATGGTGCAAGGGCCAAGAAGGCCCACCCCTTATACATTCATTCATTCATTCATTCATTCATTAATTCTTCTTACATGTAACTTTAAAGTGTGACCATGGAAGTTGAAACTAGAATAGCTGTGAACTTTTTAAAAAAGGTCCTCAAAATACATAATAATATGTAATTTTTTTTACTAATTCTGATGTCCTGAAACCATCCTATAAAATATGGCATGTAATAATGAAACATCCATATAAATACTGTATTTTAATATGTCCAGCATTGTCAGTCATCTTGGGTATATGTAAAATACACTATATTTTTGAGGCTGTATTTTAGATATACATAAGATGATGGCCAATGTCCAACAGTATTAATATAATGAGCAGACCAGTGTACAATTTACAGAATCCTTATGTCATTGATACTATGACTATAAAGTGCATACATACAAGAATTCTTTAAAATACTGCAGTACTTTTTCTGTAGCAATATTAACTACCGCGCCTTATACACCTAATCAAGGATACAGGGATACATCAAAGAGACCCACCACAACATGATATTGTTGAATTTTTTAGTTATAGGTCTACAGTAAGTTAGAAATGATTGCCTGGTCATCCAGTCCACCATTTCAGTTTGTTTCTTTTGATTTAGACTACTGAACCTATAACCCTAATGCATGGTAGGTCAGATGTACATGAAAAGAGTTTGACATATTTCTTTGTAGCAAACACTAAGCTTTCTAACCTCTGGAGGCTGAAGAAATCTGAGTATAGGTACTGAAGCCACATGTATGGCATGCATCACATGCATCTATGGTGATATGGCACTACAGTAGTTATAATAATATATCTGAAGTTGGAGTGGTACTACCACAATGATCATAATCATAGCATGCCTTTGAGGTTATACAAAACTTTTCAGAGGTCACCTCTAACACAATATTTCTTTGTTACTGCATGGAATAAACTTTACCCTACAGATCATTTGATAAAGAATGATCCAAATGATATACTTCATATAAGAATATCTGTGCATGCTATATCATACAAACACATTAAAGCAGTCAACTAAAACAGATATTAATAGCCTGACTAGGCCAACAAGTCTTGTATGTTCTGTTTCCATCAGTTTTCTCAATCAATGCACTCCATAACTTATACTATGGTGGACAACTTGGAATTGTATGGTAGGCATCCACTGACACTATCTTTACATCTCAGTACTCTTAGAGGAATTATTTTTCTTTTATTTTTAGACCGTAAAACAAAATGGTGCATGTATACAACACCCTGACACTTGCCACTCCTCTCCCCACAACCACCTGAACAAGAATCCTAACTTATCTGACGACCACATTCTCTAGTGTACTTCATAATGCACAGCAGAAAAAATGCACTTCCAGAAATGTTACTGAAATATGAATTATTTTTATTATACAATTTATATAATAACTCAGATTTGTTAATAAACAGAAACGTCTAGAAATACTAGCACACAAAGTATCTGTTAATGCAACAAACAAAATATAATAAGAGAAACAACAGTTTATCCTTACATAAAATACTTCTGACAGCAGTATGAAAATATTCCTATGTACACATGCACAAAGCAACATACACATTAAGACTGACTGAAGATCAGAATGTATTTTGAATAAAGTATACTTTTCACACACTTTTCCTGTATATTTAATAAAACTATACACTAAACAAAATAAAAAATTAATGACAGAATTATGATATTGGAAATGGCGTGATCCATAATGTAACACACATAACTATCACTGACATTCTTCGAAGTTACTAAAAATGTGAATAATGAAATGCAAGCTAGTGGAAGTCTCCCGTAACAAACAGCATCAAAATCAGTAGAAGAATTTATGGGATACATGGAAAAATCAATTTATGGCCTTATGCACACTAGGTTTTAATATGAATTAAAACATAACTCTTTAATGAACCGTCACAACACAGCAAATAGTAAAATGTCAAAGTCAGCGTTCAGCTGTGGCTTTGCTACATGTTTCGGCCACTATCGGCCATCATCAGGCAAATACATATCAACAAAAATCTACCATTTAACTGCAACCATAAAATGGATATAACACTATTGATCGTACAATTTTTCAACATTCTATATAATAAAGAAACTCAGTTACATGACAACAAGCTCATTTACTTACAAAAAAACACTGCATCCAATACATTTACATAATGTGTTGTGCAATGCACTCTTATTAAATCAAAGGGAAGGAATCTGGAAGTTCTTACAGTGGTGACCATGAAGTGTATTATGTTCTGGTATGTGATGCCATGTACTCTGTTAAAACTTCACTGATGCTTTGGAGAAACATATTGCCTCCACCCTCACAACTGAAGAGCATGACATCCAAGCAAACAAACACTAAGCATAAACTGTTTGCTTCACCTACTCTTCAAACCTGAAAATGAAGGCATAAGTTCCTCCAAAATGTCAATAAACTTCTACCAGACTACATGGCATCACATTCGAGATGATAGTATGCTTCATAAATAAGAACAAAGGAGGGGTCAATTTTAGACTGCAGACCTTTACATCTTTTATTCTTCTTGTCTCTCTACAACAGTGTTACTGTAAACCTTTAGACAGTAGCTGATGGACTATGAAATGGCCTCCTGACTTCACATGCAGATCTCATGGACTTAAGTGACATAAATTTAATTGATCAGTTCAATGTCCTCTTTGCAACCAACAAGAAAATGTTGCTTCCCCCACCTAATCTGACAGGTTTGAACATTTCCAAGCAATCACAACATTAATGGCATGGTGAGAAATAAATAAATTTGAAAAGCAAGAATTCTGGAGTAGAAAGTACAAACAAAATATATCTATTGAATTTGATTTGTTTCATTTTGGTCCGTCACACTAACAGTTACAATTATAAAAGACAAGTCGGTCCAGTGTGACTATTTCAGTGATAGTTTATAATTCAGTTTATAATTGTAAAATATATCTACTATACAACATATCCTTAACTGCATTAAAGGTTCAATATTTTTAAACAATTTGGGAAATTTTTATTTTCATGTTTTCAATTTCTGATTAAATTTCCAAATTTCTTGATTTCTGCACAGAATTAACACATAATAGTGGCGTTTTGTTACCAGCCACATCCTGAAACCACACAGAATTCAATAAAATTCTGTACTGGGAGTCTACACCAACATCTGTCAGCACAATTTAATTTTGGTACAAACTGGTCAGTTACTGTTACTTTACATGACATTCAAATTCGATTTTTCAAAGAAAGAACTCTGGACAAAAAAGCTGAATAATCCATTGCCAACCATGGATTTAAAGCATATATTGCTGTTCATGTGTATCGTCTTGCCAAATGTGGTTTTTGGTTTCGTGCATCTGCAGTATTCAATTTCTGAGCAGAAAAATTCAGTGGTTTCTGCACCATGAGATCATTTGCTGGGTAAAATTTGGAAGGAGGCAGTAATTTATATCCATGGCTCACCTCATATTCCTTCTGAAATGCAATGCACTGTGCATAATTTTCAAAGTTCATAAGGTAAGGGTTAATCGTTATGCAACTTGGTAATATGAGCCAGCATCAAGTTCTGTAGATGCTGTTCCTTTACAGGGAACATCTTCAGGAAACTTCATAGGCCATTTAACGGAAGCGACCAGGACTCCTCACCAAAGGCATGTTGCTCTTGCATGACAACACATGTCCCCATACTGCCAACAAGACAAATGAGACGCTGCAAAATTTCAAGTGGGAAGTCCTTGAGCATCCTCCAGATAGCCCTGACCTTGCTCCAAGTGACTTCCACATGTTCGGCCCTCTTAAACTTCATCTTTCGGCTGAACATTTTCCTGACAATGAAGCTGTAGAAAGGGAAGTCCCTGCCTGGTTCTGACAGCAGCCCAAAGTATTTTATGCTGCTGGTTTCCAGGGGCTTGTGAAACGATTGGACAAGTGCCTCAATGTACAGGAAGATTATGTTGAGAAATAAAAGCATTTTTCAAATCAGTACACTTATTTTTTTAAGTTCTATATCCATTTGTAACTTACTTATTGACTTACCTAAGTATAGGGCTCCACTGTTATTAACCACACTAAAACAAATGGAAATACAGTAGAACTTGGTTATAACGTCATCAAAGGGACCTAAAAATAGTGTCGTTATAAACGAATGTCGTTGTAACCGAAATGGGCACTTCCACAGTAGCCTTATGTTAGTCACGTAAAAATCTACCAAAAACCGAGTTAAAATGTTGCATTTTTTTAGTGAAATACGTAGTTAAGTACAGACTAACGTAACATTAATGTGGAATTGCCCAAATGTGTAATATCAAAGACATATTACAGCGCTTTTCACTGACAATACACACCGCACTAATATTAAAGGTAGGCCTACTCACCAAATTACAGTAGATTACATCAATTGTTGTGCCTTACTGTACCTAGATACGAGTACAGTAATCAGTTATCTTCATCTGTTTCCTGTTACTTGCCCAATACACACTTTCTAAATTACGTTCAATGTACATATAAGAGAAATTCAGGAATGAAAATGACGTTACATACGAGGTTGATGCATTTGTGCATGTCGTAATAAGCAAGGTATAAAAACAGTTGCTTTATGAGGAATTAGTTCGTACCATTGAATATTTGACGCAATAGACAAGGTGTCGCAGAAACCGATGTTGCTATAACCAAGTTTTACTGATGTATAACGAGATTAAAATAAAGTTCAAAGTTATTTCATAATGGAGCACTACACTAAATATATCAGATTTGATTTCAATGTAGTCTAAACTCAAGACATTTTGTTCTATTTTCTAAATTGTGATCACTTCCTGAAACAACTCAAGCATTTTTCATTTGAACTGTCCTAGAGTGGTTGAAAATGAAGACTTTGGTGGCATGACCAATTATATTTTAATTAAACAGATATACTGGGTGTCCAGATGAAAGGGATCCAAAATAAAAAATTTATATCTCAGAAACTAATTGTCATACACATATCCACTTTATGTCATTGGAAAGGAAACTCTTTAAGTTTTTTTTTCATGCTTACGCACATGTGCCGCTGCATTTCTTTCACCATGTTAGGAATCATCTGGACAGGGAGATGGCTGGGAGATGGACCAAAAAAAAAATTGCAAGGAAAAGAAACTGATAGTTTCCCTTTGTAATGGTGTAACACATAAGTGTGTATAATAAATGCTTTCTCAGATATAATTATATTATTTTGGATACCTTTCATCCAGACACCCTGTATTTATATACAACATGTCATCAAATTTAGTAACTCTTTTAACATTAAATTTTATTAAAATGTGTTCAGCAGTTCTGCAGTCGTTTCACGTGTATAGGAAGTAAGATTGAGTGACTTTAACTGGCATTATGCAGGGTTACAAACAGGCCTCTAAAGAATGAAAGATTTTGTAAAAAACACATTTCTGTACCGAGCAGCATATAGTGAAGACCACAAACAGAGCAAGAACCTTTATTTGGTTTTGACATACAGTTCACTGAATAGTACATATCATGTTAATCTCTCTATGTCATTATAACTAAAGTGGCTAACACATTACATTCATATATGTTATCACTGCAATGAACACTGCCAATAAGCATTACTGCTTGCATCATGATAAACAATCATTTCAATGTAACCAGTATATTCTGTTTTTACAGTAAAATAAACAATTCTGTTCATCAAATCAAGTCCCAATGTTATGGCAACAATAACTGAAAATAAAACATGTAGCAAATAAAAAAACAATTATTCCATTCTGGTCTCTATATATATGTACTAAAATTTTGTTCAATTTTAAGATCCAGTACGATGAAACAATATGAGTATGCAAAATAATGAGTGCTCAGATTTACAATCAATTCTGTACAAAAATAGTAGTCCTGAAGATCAAAAGGTAAAACATTTCACAGCGCTAAACTAAAGCGCTCATTCAATGTGGTTGCAGTAAGAGAGGGGACTGGTTTAAATCCAGACAGACCAAAAGCAGTGTTAAATCCACTAGCATGATTTGTAATATCCATAGAATTTGGCGACAGTTGAAAAGTCTTCCCCTGTATAGCTGCAATCTCCTTTTGCAACTGCAGATTGAGAGCACTTCTTACATTAGTCATGGGCACATACTGTTCAACTGTCAGAGTCCTATTCTGTTTGGCACCCCTGATTACTGATCCTGCACGTTGGTTGCGGCCAACAGATGATGCTCTACTGTATCGACTGATAGTTGTTACAATAGAACCTTCAGGTGAGATATCAACAACACTTGAAGATCCATCTGCAGCTGCTATGCTCTGATGACCAAGATGGTTGTTGCTCTTTTTGTTGCTGCGTCTAGCAACTGAACCTCCTAAAAATAGAAAATCTGTTAGTAATCATATTCTTCAAGGGGTTGTAACATTTTAACAATTTTGTGAAGGATTTAACACAGAACCTAATGGAGAGAAATGAATAAGACTACAGAAATTTGCATGAGCAGCTCCATAAATAGTACACTTCACACATTACTAGTGCTTAACATTATTAGGGTTGTCATATCGAGGATAAGATGAAGAGGAATGTAGAATCAAAGACATTTATAGAGTGCTTAGAACATTTGATTGTAGAGCTGAAAGAAGAGACCACATCAGAGACCTAGGAAAAGATGAGAAGATAATATTAAAGTGGACCTTACAGGAATTCGGTGTGTTGATGTGGACTCAATTCATCTGGATCAGGATGAGGCCCAATAGTGGGGTCTTGTGGAAAGTTCAGGATCCAAAAGGCAAGTCATTTCTTGAGTCCGTGAAGATAAAGAGGATGGAGCATGAAGCTGACCACCTACATCCATTTGGTGCTAAGGTTAAGAATGGTGGAGCTATACCTCCATCTCCAAATATGTCTTCATGGCATGGTGTTCAATGAATTAAGCATGGGCATAAATTTACCTTTACCTTAATTAAAATAGGTATGACATCACTAGAAGATTTACTGAAACGGTACAACAGTAACATAAAACATGCCTAACATAATTTATGTTTACTTTCCTTACCTTTAATTCTTTAGTTAATCATAATTCTTGATGTAAGGTCTTTAATATTCTACGAGTATGTACCAGTGTCCTCTATTCCCATTCATCTATCTCTTTTCATGCACATGCCTTCATCGCTATGATATATGTGAGTCACTGACTGTCCTCTTTGAAGTAAAAAGACCCACAGGATGGAGGCAGGTGGCAGGACTGCATATCAAAGCTTCTCAACAAGCTTCCCTATGAATCAGTTCCACCCCTTCTTCCAGATTTGTCAACTGGAATTGCATTTCTTGTTGACATTGTTATTACTGTGCAATTTAGGCCACCGTTCTGTCTACTTTAAATCTACTGGATATAGCCCAAAGTATACTATGACACCAAGCATCTTACTAGCAACCTGTAAACAGTAATTGAAACATAACTTTCTTGGCCCAGCTATCAGCTGTCCTGACTTAGGTTCATGATTTTCCTGCCGTGACAAAAATGCAGGCATTACGCATTAACCATTCCCATCCACATCCACATCCTGCCAGATTTATTCATCATTAATGCTGAATATTAGCAATAATATAACTTACTTACTTACGGAGCTGAGCCCTTCTGGAGGAGCTGCCAATTCTGCAGCTACTCAAGAATTTCCCGGCATTTTATGGAACCCAAAGGTTCAGTACCTTGTTCACAAGAGCCCTCCACTGGTCCCTATCCTGAGCCAGATCAATCCCATCAATACCATCTCATTCTGTCCAATCAATACCATCCCATTCTGTCACTCTGAGATCCATTTTAATATTGTCCACCCACCTATGCCTTGGCCTTCCCAGTGGTCTTTTTCCTTCTGGCTTTCCCACCAATATCCTATACACATTTGTCTCCCCCATTCGTGTTACATGCTCTGCCCACCTCATCCTCCTTGACATGATCATTCTAATTATACTTGGAGGAGAGTACAAGTTATGAAGCTCCTCATTATGCAGTTTTCTCCAACCTCCTGTTACTTCATCTCTTTGGTCCAAATATTCTCCTCAAGACCCTGTTCTCAAACACCCTCAGTCTATGTTCCTCCCTTAATGTCAGAGACCAAGTTTCACACCCATACAGAACCACAGGCAAAATTATAATTTTGTATATTCTAATTTTTATGTTTCTGGACAGCAGATTAAAAGACAAAAGGTTCTTGACTGAATGGTAGCAAGCATTATCCGAGTTCAATTTCCTCTTAATTTCCTCCCAAATCAGGTTTTGATCTGTTATCGTTGTTCCCAAATATCTGAATTGTGCCACATTTTCAAAACATCTGTTTCCTATCTTTATATCATGATTTTGCCCTGCATTTTTGTGATGAGACAGCAATATATACTTAGTCTTCTCAGTGTTTACTTCTAGATCAACCTCTTTACTTGCGTAAATTAAAGTTTGTGTTTTTTTCTTTATAGTATCTACATTATCACCCAGAAGATTCACATCATTGGCATAGGCCAACAATAATATAACATATCGCACTTTAAATCAGTTCGCAAAATTCACCTACATCTTAGTCTTCCTAGTGGTCTCTTTCCTTCTAGCTTTCCCAGTAATATCCTATATGCATTCCTCTTCTGCCTCAGTCATGCTACATGCCCTGCCCACCTCATCCTCCTTGACTCTTTCATGTTCCTGATAAATTTTTGCCTTCATTATATTGATATACAAAGGTTGGATAAAAAGTAGTGGCAACACCTCTATAGTTCTGAAATGACTTTATTACCTGAGGTAAACACGCTTACATTCCTTTAATATAATCGCCCCCCATGTGTACCACCTTCTGCCGAATTTGTGGAAGGCGTCGTACACCATCAGTGCGTCCACTTCTGTTTATGTCCAGCAGTGACCGACCTACAGCATGAATAATCTCCTCTCTTGTGTTGTAACGTGACCCTCGCAGTGGTTCTTTCATTTTGGCAAAGAGATGAAAATCGCATGGACTCATATTGGGTGAGTATGGCGGACGATGCAGTATCTCCCATTGCCAGCAACGAAGGAGATCCTTGACAGTGTCAGCAGTATGAGCCCTTGCACTGTTACAAAGGATGATGGGGTTCATTGCCAACAAGTGTCATCGCTTTCTCCTGAGTGCTGGACGAAGATGATTACGCAGGAAATTGCAGTAGTAGGCAGTGTTTACTGTCTGTCGTTGAGGTACAGTGTGGTGCAGTATCACTCCATCAATGTCATATGCCACAATGAACATCGCCTTCACATTACTCTGTGTGGGGTGCACTTTCTTTGGACGAGGAGAGCCAGGATGCTTCCATTCATTTGATTGTCGCTTGAAGTGGGGTGCATATGAGTGAGCCCAAGTTTCGTCCAGAGTGACAATCCTTCCAATGAAGCCGTCACCTTCCCTCTGGTACTGGTACAACAAGTCCTGTGCAATTGCATAACGTTGCCATTCTTGCACCTTGGACACTGTATGGGGTACCCAACGCGCTGCAATTTTGCAGTATCCAAGAATATCGTGCAGAATGTGGAGCACAGTTTTGTGACATATGCCTACCTCAGCAGCTAACTCCTGCACAGCCCATTGATGATCGACATCCAGCAAAGAAGCAAGAAGCTGAATTGTGTGGTCATCAACATGGGGTCGTCCTGAATGAAGGTTGTCCTGAATGGCATCTCTCCCTTCACAGAACAATTTCACCCATCGTGCCACTGTGTGATATGGCAAAGCAGCATCACCACATAACAGTTTTGTGCACTAAGACCTGGTGCAACTTCAATTTTTATCCAGGAGCGTTGTTCTTGTTTCGTAAACATGTTGTTAGGCTTCTTGAACTGGGCTCCTGCACTTCAAGACGATGCACAATACAACTCAATGAAACACAACCAGAGCCACTCACTGCATTACTTCAACTGAACGTCTGCTATCAGCTAGAGATGGCGCTAGTGCTACCTGAAGCACATCTTTCATGTTACAGCAGTGTTGCCACTACTTTTAATCCAACCCTTGTATCAGCCTAAAACAAGCCGTTCTGGGAAGAACTAACCGCCTACTTTCCTTTTATATGGCACAGATTGCACAGAAAATGACGTGTCCAACAAGTCCTCTGTTGCCTGTGTATTCAATGCTGTGGTAACATTTTTACCAAGCCATTGCATAGCAATAATGGGGATTCACATACAGACACACAGACTGATGGGAGGGAGTATGAAGTACACCACTGAGGTGGGCTCAGGTGCCATGATATACATGCCATATTTCATGAATACTGGTTCAGGCATTCAAAAGTTGATAAGGTGGGGATACACAAGACAGCAAAGTGATCTCATAAGTCTATGCATATTTTTTTCAAAATAAGGAAAGCAAGCTAAAAAACAGGTTCTGTTACATATTCGAACAGACATTAGACATGCATCAGGCTATTGCCAAGGTCAAGAAAACACGGATTATTACATCCACTCCCCCATACGCCTTTGTGGCATACTACTTAATTAGTTGAGCGCAGGGGCAAATTTTGATTTATTAGACATGCAACTCTATGATATACAAAGCTGCTGTGGGACAGAGAAGCATTACTGGGATATTCAAAGTATACATAAAGATGGATAGACAATGTACTCACTTCCATATTTACCTTTGAAATTCCTGTTTCCACCAAACTTTTTGACTAAGTTGGAGCGCGGCGTGAAACCACGTTTTGTCGCCAGGTCATTGGGTATACAAACAGTCAGCATATCAGATGACCCAGCCACTGAGTTACTGTCCTCAAGCCAATTGGACCTGTAAGTAAAAACAAAACATCACACACATATGTGCTAGTATTAATTATGATTTACATGATCTGACACACAGTTAAATTACGATATCAGATAAAATAATGAAAACATAAATTTCATACACTGCTAATCAATCAAAATGCAATTAACCATTTAAGTATTCACATTCTCTATTGTATTATATACTTTGAAATACACATGCTAAAGAGTAAAGTGAGAGTAAAGTAAAAGAAAGTAGAGAGTAAAGAGGCCACAAATGCTGGCAACAGGGACTGAATATATTCTGAGCCATATTAATCCAGTTAACACAGTCACAACTGATTTTCTCAAAATTCCTTCAGTTCTCTCCATTTTTACTGTGGTCCCTGTCTTGTCTCTGCATATGTCCTTGTCTTATTCATATATGATATATATCCAGATCAGCACAATTTCTGTAATTTATCTCTCTTATGACCAAATATTACCTTCTCTTCACTCAGAGATACAAAGTATCATCCTAATGCAGGCAATTGGAAAGTGACATGATAGTGTCTGTCCAAAATTTCTGAAACTATAGAACAGATTTAGATCAAACTTGGTACTAAGAAGTCTACACTAGAAGTTTCATGGAGAATTTAATTTTAGTTTGTATTAGTCCATTATAACCCCTACTGTACATAATGCTCAGCTCACACTTCATATATTTCTCAAAATGGCTTACTGGGGGGGATATACCACTTTTGTTTGAAACACTTTTCAATATGGGGAATATTTAACATAAAAGGGAAAATCATTTTTGACTTTGTGCAGTGTGACTTTCCTTGTGTGATTAACTCTGCACAGTAAATTTCTGTAATGAATAAACAAGCATGAACACTAATGACGGATTTGAAACAGCAAAGATTAAATCTGAAAATTATGTATAATCTAGTCCAGTATACCTTTGCAATATTTTATTCTGGGAAGGAGAGATTTACACTGCTAAGATATATCTTACTTACTTCAGCGCTCTTGCATGGTTTAATTTTTGTTGTATATTCTGCTGTTTCTGAAGACGTATGATCTGATCAGATCGTAAAGAGTTCACTGTGCCTCGATTAGCTTGCAAACCTCTCCGCTGCTTCATTGGAAGTCCTCGCACACCTTTGGAAGCGGACGTAATCTGCAATATATAATTATACAATAATTACTGCATCCAAATAAAACTCAATCTGTCAGGCTCCCCAAAGCTGGAATTCCTATGATTTCTATTACTTGGGTCAAGGGCTCTAATCTTATTGTGAATTTAGGAGACATATAAATGATAAATTTATATCCAGCAATGTGTACTCCTTCAGACAGGCTCTTAAAGTGCTTCAGAGAGCCACTTAAAAAACTGCAGGTAAGAAAACTTGTATTAGTAGTAAATAAAATGGATGCCTTTGATAAGTTACTTCATAGCTCTGTTTTTAAGTTATTTCCTCATACTTCTACACTATGCAAAAGTATAGGTAAAAGATAAAGCTGTTCCTGTGTCTAAGCACCGAAACAGGAAGGTGCACAAATGTGGAGGCAAAACATGATGCATTCTTAACCCCAGGAAATCAGATGCAAGCACATGTGCTGTAGCAGCTTTCTCCTGGGGAAGATTCTCTGTATCATCACTTAGTGGGACCTCAGCCAGTTTGAACACTGTGATGAGAAGAAGAGTTTCTGCCTATCCAAGCACACACCTAAGTCATTCAGCCTGTAGCAAGTCATTTCGCTGACTGACCTACTTGAAAAACACAAAATTTTTGGAAATCAGAAGGATTTTGGGAGCATTTCTTCAGAGAGCTGCTTATCGAAAACTTGGTTACGAATGCAACAGAATGTATGGCTTTAACAAATTTAATGTAATTGGAATCTGTACTTGTGGAAATTATGCACATAAATAGATCACTAATTTCACAAATATATTTCTTGCTAGCCTCATGATAAAGACTGAACCACTGAGGAAAGAATGCACTATAAGTTTTTCCCTTAACCTTTTCTTGTAACAGTATAAGAAAATAATAAAGTGTATGTAAAGGGTTTGGCAGATGGATCTGACATTTATGAGAGCACTGTTCTGAAATTTGTGTAATAGTTAGGGGAGTAAAAAAGCTACAGAAATAACATATGAACAATTACTTCATTTACCAGATAATTATGTTTTAAAAATTTCACTCATCAAATGTTCTCCACAGCATCTCACTATTTCCTGTGATCTTTCATGAAAATTGTTCATCATACACTGTAACAAGTCTGGAATTCTGTTAATTTCTTCAATTTCTTACTGATCCTATTCTTTAGTTCCTGAAAGGAATGTAGCCTGGTTTGAAACATTCTTCTGTTAAGGTATACCAACAGAAAATAATCAGGAGTTGAGAGGTTTGGAGACTGAGGAGGCCACTGAATAGAGCCACAGCAAGAAATTCAGGGGCATGGAAAAACAAATACAAATCACTCCATCCAATGTGACATATAAGTTTTACTACATGATAACCTATCAACCCTTACATGTTTCAGTCCTTATGGACCATCTTCGGAGGGAACATCATTACAAGCTGGAAACTATTATCACAATAGGTGTTTTGATTTTAATACACACACTTGCCCTATAATGCACAGTACGCATAAAATCAAATGTTTCACAACCACAGCAACTTCCTGGTATTGTAAAGTTTTTTAAAAAAAGTTTTCTAGATGTTCTAACAACACAGCTAGTCATGAACAAACCCTGGACAACACTATGAGCCTCCTTATCAAGATAGACAGCGGCACAAATTCTGCTCCATACAAGAAGGACGATAGGAGTACGGACATGAACCTACGTGGTTTATAAAATTTTAACTATTGACAATAAGTTTTTAAACAACATCTAGAAAACTTTTTTTTAAAAAACTTGACAATACCAGGAAGCTGCTGTGATTGTGAAACGTTCAATTTTATGCATACTGTGCATTACAGGACAAGTGTATGTAATTAAATCAAAACACCTATTGTGATAGTAGTTTCCAGCTTGTAATGATGTTCCCTCCGAAGATGGTCCATAAGGACCGAAACATGTAAGGGCTGATAGGTTTTCATATAGTAAAACTTATATGTCACATTGGACGGAGTGATTCGTATTTGTAATTGTTAGTGTGACAGACCAGAATGAAACAAATCAAAAGCATGGAAAAACATTTCTCAATAATTACACTGTCTCTCTAGCAGCATGGGCAGTAGCACCCATAATCCTAAATCCTAAACCTTCATGCAAAATGAGATGAATACTTCAGTCTGGTAAGTTTAGTCTGCTGCATGTCTTGATGCAGAATGTCTTGGACTTTGCTGTTAGCTTATACAAGCATCTATTTGCTGGTCAGCTGTCCATATCTGACTAAATTACAATTCTTCAGGGTCAAAAGAGGCAAGCTACAGGTCCCCACCATTCTTCTTCCCCCTGCAGTGTTACCAAACTCATCATATTCCACTGCTGTATCCTGTATGTAACATTACACTTCAGAAATGTGAGTGCAACAAGAACAAAAAAGGAACACAAATATTTAGAATATATGTTCAATCATGTTAATGAATCCTTGAGCAACTTTACTGATGTACTGACTGACTGAACATGCCTGTTGATGGCATTCTGACGTCAAAACGTGTAGGGTTATCGATCATGTTATATTAAGTAAATAAGAACATCTCTTGTAATTTGACAGGCCCTTGATAAGTTGTTTAAATTTAAATTAGCAAATGTTAACTTCATATATTATAAAGAATTGACTAAAACTGTATCAGCAGGAGTGGCCAAACGAGTAGCAGAATGAAGTTAGCAAATGTAACTTCATGGATCATAAAAGACAAACTAACCTTGTATCCACCTTGAACAGAACCAGAATTCCAATACTGCAATGTTTGCTGTCTGTTCTTTTGTCTCCTACTGAGGATCTGTGTTGCCAGTCTGATTCTGTTACGAGCCAACTGCTGCCCACGATAGCGCAATCGTCCTCGAAAACTGCTGTAATGACGATTAGTGCCAGTACTTGCAGCATTTCGTACTTTACGGCCCAAACTTGCTGTACTTCCATACTGCTTGAGAAGTGAGCTCTGCCCATAAAATTTGCCCTGTTTCTGGGCCCAAAACTGGTTTCTGTTTGATGCCTAAAAGCAACAAGACAGCATCAGTATAATCTATAACCACATAGCACAATGTTATATATTTTTATGCATACCACCTCTCCATTTTATGAATGTTAAATTCATGAGTTTTCATGTCAATTCAACAGAAAATTATCACATTTTTTTGGTATGTATAATGAATTTTCACTACAACTACAACATGCCAAGCCATATATATGACATATTATGAGTACTGTTCACCAGTGAATCATTATCCACAGATGCTGAATATTGCCACACTGTTTCCTTTTCCTTTACACCATTTTTCAAAATTAATACTGTAGTGTAGTCTGTACAGCGACTGGCTATGGACTGGATGACTAAGGGGTCAGAGTTTGAGTCTCAGTAGGGTCAAGAATTTTCTCTTCTCCATATCATCCAGACTGGCCCTGGGGTTCACCTACCTCCTATCCAATGGGTATCAAGGGCTCTTTCCCTGGGGGTAAAGTGGCCAGGGCATGAAGCTGGCCACTCACCTAAAGCTAGCAATGAGGTCAAGAAAATGTTGATCTATACATCCACTCCCCCATATGCCTTTATGGTGTAGTACTTATTAAAAATAGGTACAACTTTACCTTTATTGTTCATAATGACTGAACATACAGGAAGACTGAAAAGTTGCGCACATCAAACTAAACGTTGTTATAAATTGTATTGCAGTTAATATAATTATATCCCCTACCGCTAGATGGTACTGTAGGAGTACTAACATCGAGTAGAAACGCCATCTGTTGTGTACCGATCATACGATGTCTGCAATATAGCTTTCTTTATTTCGTGACAGACATGTCATTTTCCCAAGAACAAGTTTTAATTGTGGAACATTATTTTGCCAGTCGTTTTTATGCACATGTCGCAGATGAGTTTTGTCAGGAATATCCGGATTCTGTAGTTCCTAACAATTCGACGATAATGAGAATAATCAATCAATTTTGGGAATGTGGATCAGTTTCAGATAGGAAGAGATCTGGGAGATTGGCCAGTTTAACTGAGGCTAAACTGCCTGACATGGAGAAAATGTTGCAGCTTTCCCCTTCAAAAAGCCTGAGGAGACTATCAGCGCAATCAGGGATTTCGTATGGAAGTGCTCAGAAAGCGATGAAGTTACACCTTTGTGCATATCATGTTCGCTGTGTGCAGGAACTGAAGGACCTGGATAAAGAAAAACGCTTAGTTTACTGTAGATGGTTTTGGACATTTGTTGGCAACCACTGAATTGAAGAGTTTGATTGGGTTTTCTTCACTGATGAAGCGTGGTTTCACCTTAGTGGCTATGTGAACAGTCAAAACAATAGGATGTGGTCATTTGAAAATCCACATGTGTTACATGAAAAACTCTTGCACTTTCAGAAAATTGGAGTGTGGTGTGCTGTATCACGTCATTGAACAGTGAGCCCAATTTTCTTTGAAACAACAGTGAAGAGTCCAGTGTACCAAGACATCATTACACAGTTTACTGCACTTCTTGAAGTTGATGAACGTGAGTGTTGGTTGCAGCAGGATGGTGCCACATGTCACACATCTAATGAAACCACACAGTTCTCGAGCAAGATTTTCAGTGACCGTTTCATTTCAAAAGGATTGTGGCCCCTGTGTTCGCCTGATTTGTCACCCACAAATTTTTTCCTTTGGGGAACATCAAAGGAATTGTCTATAAAAACTATCCACCTACACTGGATGACCTCAAGAGGAGCATTACGACAGCGATCAGTTTACAGGTGCTCCACAAGGTAGCCTCAAACATGGTAAAAAGAGCTCACGCATGCATTGATGAACAGAGAAGAAATTTCGAGCATATGTTGTAAAGACATAATTTGATTTTGCATTTCTAAGATATAAGGTTTCCCCCCAGGGAAAGAGCCCCTGATACCCACTGGAGAGGAGTATGCATGGGCCACACAGCTGGTCTGGACACTGCAGAGAAGAGAAAAATTTGTTGCCCTTACCAGGGATCAAACCCCAGCCATACAGCCCATAGTCCGATGCTATACCAGCTCAGCTATGATGTTTTGGGTATGGAAAACAAATGGGGCTGGGATTATTTCTCAAAAAATCAACACCTAATGAAAAAAATAACATTTCACTGCTACCAAGATGCACCATAGGTACTAGTTTTGCAGAAGTGTGTTACTGAGTCATCAAATATACAACCAAAATCCAAACTTCTCCCACATCTCAAGCAAATGCCAAAATTACATTCTGCTGAGAAGACGAAATAGTTTCACAACCTGGTTCTTGGTCCATCCATACATTATGCAGACCTGTTTCACAGGCTAAAGCCAATGGATTAACCAAAGTTTACTGCTGTTATAATACAGCACCTCATCACCTCATAAGTTACAGCATACCACAAACTAACAAGGACTTACCTCATTAAATTTTCCACCTTGTCCTTGAAATCTGCCTTTTATCAAAACAGTACTTCGGTTACTTTGGTAATTTCTGTTGCCCTTACCACCACGTCTACTTCGTGACTGTTGAGTACCTCTAGATGTGACACTTCCTGGGCCTGAAAAAGGTTTCTTCTTATTCAGCTTTATAATCTCATCTGAAATACAGACAGTATGACATTCAAATGACAAATTATACTATAAATATCAGGATTATAAATGTATATGAAAATCACTTAGTACCAATTATGCAACTTCCCCCCCAGCTCACATTATGTTTTGCCTAAGTCACCCACACTACTGTTCAGGTGCAACAATAGACTATAGGTGCACTCTGTGAAATGGAATTTTTGCTATCTAATCACTGAGCACACAGCCCTCGCTGAAGGCAAAAGATTCTGAACTGAATAACAAAAGCATTCTCTGAATTTAATCTGCTCTTAAATTCTTCACAGATATAATTTTTATTTGTTAGCCTTATTGCAAAGTATTTGAAGTTCATCACATTTTCAAAGGATTTATAGAAACCCTTATATTGATTCTAGCTTGCATTCTGATGAAAAGAAAACAACAAATATGTAATTTTCTTTATGTCTGCTTCAACACAAACTTCCTTATTATCATCAATTAGAGGTTCCGTGTTTTTCTTTATGATATTTATGTTATCACTTATAACAGGGGACTGAAAAAAGGCTATAGTGGTCCCTATTTATAAAGTGGGAGATCGGTCAGTGATGGGGAACTACAGACCGATCAGTTTAACATCAGTGGTTTGCAAACAAATGGAGCATGTAATAGCAGGGTATCTAAGACAAATTTGGGAAAAGAGTGAATGGCTATATGAGGGCCAACATGGCTTTAAGCCAGGGTTCTGATGCAAAAGTCAATTAGTCACAGTTTGTCAGGATATTGCTGATGCCCTGGATGAGGGGGTCAGGACAGACGCGATAATAATAGATTTTTCTAAGGCCTTCGATTTGGTCCCACACGATAGGATACTCACAAAAATAGTGGAAACCGGAGTGGACTTCAGGGTAGTTGTGTGGATACAGAAATTTCTTTCAGGGCGCTCACAGAGAGTCAGAGTAGACAGGCACCTATCTGAAGAAGCCAGAGTGATGTCTGGAGTGGTGCATGGGAGCGTTTTAGGACCGCTACTATTCTTCGCTTATGTTAACGATATTTGGAGGGACACTGACTCAAATATACAGTTATTCGCAGATGACTGCATAATATACAGGAAAATACTGGATAGTAGTGATGTGGGCAAGTTGCAGACAGATCTAAATAAATTAGGGTAATGGGCAGTAGTTGACGAAATGAAGATAAATCCAGATAAGAGTAAAGCGGTAAGTTTCACGAGAGCTAGGGTGAAGGATCGTCTGACGTATTATTTTGGGGACCAACTAATTCCGGAGGTAAAAGCTTTAAGTACCTAGGAATAATCATATGGAGCGATCTAAGATGGGCAGATCATGTAAATTATACCCTACAAAAATCATGGAAGGCTCTTCATTTAATAATGTGTATAGTGAAACAGGGCAATAATAACACAAAATATCTAGCCTATACGTCACTAGTGAGACCGATACTTGAATATGGTTTGGTATGTTGGGACCCATATAGAGAATGGGAAGTTAGCGCTTTAAATCGGGTACAAAGAAGAGCAGCTAAATTTGCCAATCCTACAGATGAATCTGGTTGGGAAACTCTGGCACAGCGTAGATTGATAGCCTGTTTGTTCACCCTCTACAAGGCATACAACAGGAGACCGGCTTGGAAAGTGATAGGGGATAGCCTGCTTAAACCATGCTACCTGAATAGGGATGATCATATTTGGAAAGTTAGAAGTAGGAAACAAAGAACTGATGTTGGCAAATATTCCTTTGTAAATAGGACCATAAAGGATTGGAACAGTTTACCTGCAGGCATACTAGTGTCTTTCCCCTGTAAACTAAACATTTTTAGAAAGAGGGTTAGGAAAGCTGTTGCAAGTACAGAGGCCTTAGGTGCAGTTTGAATGGAAGCAAGTGAAGTAATGTGAAGTGTCCTTGTTCGAGTGCAATGTTTGGATTTGCACTGTGTGTACCTTGTTTTTTGTATTGTATTTTGTTTTGTACTGTTTCCTCATGTTATACTCTCCTTGCCTGTATCAGTGTAAGTTCTGCTGCCACTGGGTGAACACCCAATTGCAGTAAAATAATAATAATAATTTTGGTAAACACATTCCCATGGCAACAAACACACTTGCAACAATAAAATAATTACTGGACATTTTCCAAGTGGTCCATGTCATATCAAAGGAAAATCTGTGTGTCTGTATGCATATTCTCCTCTATAGTTGCCAAGCAATGGCCCAGAAAACACGTTCCCGTGGCAACAAAGAATTGTCTGATGTGTCATATTCTATGCAATCCATGTCATATCAAAGGAAAGTACGCAATTAGTTCTTCCCAGAACTTCTTGTTTAAATACATTTTAGTTTAACTAGTTTTATGGATATACCGAATTCTGCCAGAATGTTGTACAATACTTCCTGCACACTGAACCACGGACTCCTTTAAGTCTATATGTGGTCTGCTGAAAAAGTTTCAGAACTAATTTTTTTTTATATTTTTTCCAGACATGCCTCCAAACTGAGTGAGCCTTATAATCTTCAAAGTACTCTCCTCCTGTAGTGACACACCGCTCCCATCGCTGTTGTCACTTCTGGAAACAGTGCTGGTAAGCCTATTTTAGGATTCCTCTTAGCTCTGTCTGCAAATTTTCTGCAATCTCTTGAATCATCTGAAATTGTCCTTTCAAAGTGGATTTCAGCTTGGGAAATAAGAAAAAGTCTGCCGGAACCAGGTTGGATTAGTAGGGTGGCTGAGGAAGCACAGTTGTGTTCATGTTGGCCCAAAAGTCTTGAATCAATAGAGATGCATGAGCTGGCGCATTGTCATGATGGAGGAACCAGGAGTTGTTTCTCCACAACTGAGGTATTTTTCTCCTGAAATTTTCTCTCAGATGTTTCAGCACTTTGAGATAATACGATTCAATGTTTGCTCCTGATGTAACAATTCATGATGCAGAACACCCTCAATGTGAGAAAAACTGTCAGCATGACTTTCACTTTTGACCTCACCTGTCGCACCTTTTTCGGTCTTGGCAAATGTTTTTCAACCCATTGTGAAGACTGCATTTTAGTTTCCACATCGTATCCATAAACCCACCTTCCATTGCTAGCGAGAGCCAAAGTTCCTGAGAGATGGCAACAGTGTCCAAAGTCATGGGACAAACTTTGAAACTACCTGACATATTTCTAATTTTGTTGTAAGAATGTCATGACATGAACCTATTGATACGTTGCACTCTTCTGATATTTTCTGCACTGTTAAACGACTATTAGAACACACAATTTTACGAATTTGCACAACATAATAGTCATCTCATGACAATGAGAGCCGTCCCAAACGCGGCTCATCATTTGTTGAATGCCGACCATCCTTAAATCGCTTAAACCATTATAACAACATGTATGTATAAGCATTTTTCATTATTTCATGTGTCTCCGTAAATGTTTTCCTTAGTTTGAAGCAAAATTTAATATCAATACACATCTCATGAATATCAGCCATCTTGAATATCGCAAGACACACTCTATAGGAGCATGAATAAATAGCTCTAGGGCAATGACTAATCACAGCAGAATGATGCAGCAAAAAGGATGATACTTAGGAAGCATGCCATTAGGCAGCACAACTTACCTGACAATGCTTAGACATCAAGTTGGCATGCTATATCAGGAGTTCTGAAACTTTTTGAACAGATCATGTACATACTGCCTGACATTCAGAGCTCTCAACCTCCCTGAGCGGGTTGCTTAGCCCAGTGAGGATCCTGTCCCATCATAAGCTCTAGTTGGTCAATTTCCTACTGAGGAAAATTTCCAGCTTCCTTTGAATGGTCAAGGAAGAACTAGGACAGAAGACACCAAGAATATACAGTATCTCCTATGTATATTATCAGACAGGCCAACTGACTGACACTGGGTTAAGGAGCACCATCAACACATCTTTCTGATCATCTGAATATGTGTGCCATGGCAGGGGATAGCAACAACTTGGTACATTGTATCCAGCTCTACAACACCAGTATCCTCCTCACCAAATCCAGGCATTACAATCATAATGTGACATAAAGCCTGAAGGCTGGAATAGTGGAGCCAGAGATGTCCACTGCTAGGTAAAGACTTGGTAAACAACTTTACATAGCAAAGAATACATACACAACAACAGCAGAGCCATTGGAAGGGATGCTTTCTATGCAGTTCATGCCATCTTGGAAGATACCAATCTGTGAAGAAATGGTCGGGCAGATTTAGAAGATGGAATGGGTCTACAGGATCCTGCCCATGCACTTGAAATTTGGGGTTTCAAGTTTCCACAGTGGTAACTTGGAGCCGGCATAGCGCAGTTGGTATATCAACTGGCTATGGGCTGGCTGCCAGAGGGGTCAGAGTTCAAGTCCCATCAGGGTCAATAATTTTCTCTTCTCTATGTCCTCCAGACGAGCTCTGGGACCCACCCAGCCTATCAAATGGGTACCAGGGCCTCTTCCTCCGGGGGTAAAGTGGTAGGAGCGTGAAGCTGACCACTCACCTTCGACTAGTGCCTTCATGGCATAGTGCTTAATTAGCTAAGCACAAGGACAACTATACACATACCTTACAGTGGTAATTACTAAGATTACTGTATCCTGGGATGGGACGCCGTGTAATTTATTTGATGTGTGCCGCCATTCCTTCGAAACTATCTTTTACCAGACTACACGGCGTCACATCACACAAGGCAGTCATTTTCATGCAGCTGAAGAGCAACATTTACCAAGTGGTTAAGGGCGACTGGCCGAAAAGATATACCACGTAACTGCAATTAAACTGCAACGTAAACAATGAACAAACTATATAAACCTGCATGCGGGAAAAATTACTGTTTTACAGCTGAAAACAGTTTCATCCAAATGCCCTACTAGCTACATTCGTTCAGTACCTGCGAAATATCATAATATACATACCTAGAGACATACCCAGCTTATCTTTCCCAGATGTCATGCTCAATTTTGTTATTAAATCGGTTACAATATCACTCCTACAAATACAACTTTCTCCGCCTGAGTACACGCATGTGTGACACCCAACTATGAAACAAAAACTCTCTTCAAAAATTACTTCGTTTACAACAATCAACACACAGCACGGATCACTAAATAAGGAACGCCTTACGTATGCAATCACGGATCCTATAATTCACGCAAAAATGTCAAATTGCATAATACGTGGTGAAATCTCTACGATGTTAGCGTCTTCTGCTAAAGAACATACGACGTTGACTATCTATGGGCATGCATATCAACAATACCAGATGAAAAAATGTCGGAGTATGCTAAGTTAATGTGCACGTTACATTTGAAATTAACTGGAGAGCGAAGAAGCAATTTTTTATATTTTTTGTTGTCATGCACGTAAAGGAAGGTTGATCTAATTTCTGCTTTCCTTGGAACTTGAAACAGGATTTTCCAGTGCAACTGGAAAGTACATGTAAAGCATTTCGCTGTCCTTTAAAAGTTTTTTTTGTTTTCAACTTGATCGACTAGTGTGAACTAGGCTTAGCCCGTGTTTCTCTGAAAGTATGGCGTCCGTGTAGGTACTTCTTGAGAGGTTCTTGAGCTGAGAGCTTGTGGTAGCTGCGGATAGCTACGATAATAATTGCCAGCGCTATTGTATTATAGCATCGTATCCGATCGTATCTATCGCTCAGTCGCCAGTGGTAGAGGAAAAGTAAAGCGCAATATCAAAATGTGTACGTTAATGACATTTAACTTTTATTATTTTCATTTATAAGGCACTGGAATATTTAAATAAAAATGGTCGTTTATGACATTTGAAGGTTTAAAATTTTTCACACTTATATATGTAGCTTAAAAGTGAGAATATTCGCAGCTGATGTAACTTCGACGGAGCAGAATCGAGTTCCGCTGCAGCATGAGAAAAGGCGACGGTTGTAGGGGTCGTGGGTTCATTCTGTATATTCTTTGGCTAGGTTGAGGGGGAAGGGGCATAGAGTCAGACGCGTCAGACGTGCTGGATAGTTGTCAAGGTTGTCATCCTAGTTGTCATGATGATCATGATCGTCATGATGTTGAAGCAGTTCCATTGGGGTGGGTTGGGCGGTTGGGCGTTGTTTCTGTCCTTGTATATAGCCGATTCATGATCTCGGATGCTGTAGTATCGAACCGAGTAAATTAATGTATGAAACGAATATGCACGGCAATAAATTACTTTTATATAGTTATTACTGCCCCACTGCTGTAAACCTATGTGGATTCGTTAGATAATGATCCGATTCATATTCGTTTTTCAGAAAAGTTGTACTTACTATGCAAAAGTAAATATTAAATCACTGCAACTATCCCAGACCCTAAACCAATTTGTCAGAAGTTTTACTTTTTTTCATTTTAATTCCTGGTACTTTGCCACAGGGTGAATAAGGGGCATTGCGGGAGTTTCAGGCCTCAGGCACCACCTTCATTCCTACCTAGGCTGCAGCTAATGGTAATTCTGAAATACAAAAAGGAAACAATTTAATGCATATAAGCCCTAGTGACTGATACACCCTTTCATGACACTCATGTAAATAAATATATACACACATACATGTGTGTGTGTGTGTGCTAGTATCTCACCACCCACTTTGGTCCCTTTATTGCATTGCCTTTAGCAGAGATCTTACAAATGAAGATTCTGCAGTAATGGTGGAGGGTGCCAGTCAATAGCCTTGTTAGGTGTCTCAATTACCAAACTGAAGATGACATTGATAACATTGCCAAAAACAGTAGCCATATGAATGTGGGATTTATTGGGCCACTGGAGCATTAAAACAAGCCTCAAATGAGAGTTAGGAATGTGAATATGCAGCTTAAATGTTACACATCTTATCATTATTCGTGTTCAGCTATTAATAGTAGTTGTAATATTCTGGTAATTGTTGATGTTGGTGCTGTTTTTTAAATTAAAGCCAGTAATGCATACAAGAGTTATAGGACAAGATTTTTGATATTTCCATTTACAATAAAAATATAAAAATCCATATAACTGCAAACTGAATAGCTTCACTATATATCATCAGAAAATTAAGGGGTTTGCAAGATGTGTTCATTGTATTATTTGTGCACAGAATTGTTCCACATCCTAGGTAAAGGAACCATGGAATGCATAACTGTCTGTCTTTCCATATACTTGGCACTCAAGTCTTATTGTTTAACCTTAATGAAGTGTCCAAATATATGTCAAGACAATTGGGGGAGGGGGGAGCTGGCACTTTGCAGATTTGAATTGACTATCTGTAAATCTGAGTCCAGTTTATTACAACTGATGTATATGGCAGATTGGCAGGTCATTGGACCCAACTTACTTACTTACTTATGGAGCTGAGCCCTTCTTGAGGAGAAGCCAAATCTGCAGCTACTCAAGAATTTCCCACCATTTTATGGAACCCAAAGGTTCATTACCATGTTCATAAGAGCCCTCCACCAGTCCCTATCCTGAGCCAGATCAATCCAATCCATACTATCCCATCCTGTCTCTCTAAGATCCATTTTAATATTATCCACCCACCTATGTCTTGCTCTTCTCTTCTGGCTTTCCCACCAATATCCTTGGACCCAAACATTCAAAGAAACTGCTGATTGTATTATATTATGGATTTGGGATTCCAAAAAATTAGGACAGACTACCAGATTCTTTTACCTGAAGTGCATTACTCTAATGTACTAGAACTAGTTAAAGTAAGGTCAAAGATTTCCAAATATGGAGAGCATTATGTGCTAGACTGTGTAGTCTGGTAGAAGTTTACTGATGATTTGGGGGAACATATTGCGACCATCATCAGGGTTAAGAGTAGGGCCAAGCAACTGTTAGTCGCTACTAACTGCTGCTTGCTTGGTTTACTCTTGAGTCCTGAAGATGGGGCAGTATGTTCCTCCAAATTGTTGGTAGACTTCTACTACTATCTAGCTTTGTGTCATTTGCAATAGTTAGTAATATGTTTTATGTACATTCAGGAAGTGCCTGATTGTGAAGATCATCTATCCCGATAAGGTTTTCGTGATTTTTCTTACCTGCTCCAGGCAAATGCTAAGATAATATAGGGTGTTCAATTCAAACCTCCCACATTTTATCAGATCTTAGAACAGAAAGTATGAATGGTAGGAAAATGAAGCTGTAGGAAATACATACAAGAACAACTAAAAAAAATTGTATTTGACACACTAATAAACTTTTACATATGCACCATTGGTAGTACGAACAGTATCCAATCTGTATTCAATTTGTTGCCACTGTCTTTCCAACATGCCCATTGGTACAGTAGAATTCATTTCACGGATGCAGGCTCGTAAATCTGGGAGTTCATTCACTGGAGGCATGAACACACGGTCCTTCATGTTACCCCAGAGGAAGAAATTGAGCGGAGTGAGGTCCGGTGAACGTGGTGGCCACCAAATTGGTCCACCATGTCCAATCCAGCAATCTTGGAAGGTGGCATTGAGGGACCTCCGGACATCCAGACCCCAATGTGCAGGGAGGCTCCATGTTGTTGGAAGATTATGTTAGGCTGCAGATCGGCTACCTGAGGTTAGAGGAACTCTTCTAACATGTCAAGGTATATGCAGCCAGATACTGTAGCTTCACTGAAGAAAAACAGAAATCAAATTCTTGAGTTTTTCTTTCATCTAGTGCTAATTATAATCCATAATTTGTCACAATATGTTCAAAATGATTAATTAAAANGTCAAGGTATATGCAGCCAGATACTGTAGCTTCACTGAAGAAAAACGGAAATCAAATTCTTGTTTTTCTTTCATCTAGTGCTAATTATAATCCATAATTTATCACAATTTGTTCAAAATGATTAATTAAACTGTGGTAGGTTTGAACGGAACACAGTATATTTTAAATATGCCATGAGTATTTCTCCCACTTCACTCCTAATTCTTGTTTCATAGTCACTGAACTATACTCCATTAGATTCTACATAAATTCAGCATTTGATACAGCCTTGCAGATTTGTCAAATAACGAACTGACAGCTCTTCTTCAGCTTCATCCTGAAATCATTTTTTGAGTTGGCTGTTCTAATTCTGGTTTTGTATTGCTTTTTAGGTTAAAAAAGTTAATGAATAATCATATTTATTGAAAACTTATTCATACAGAATAAACTAGTCTATTTAATAATGAATGGATTCACAATCAGAGAAGCCAGGCGTGAAGACTGCAAAGAAATTCAGAGACTGATACAGGCAAGTTTGTTCCAATTTTCATTGAGGACTAAGATATTACTTTGTAATAGAACCTGTTTTCTTTTAGTAATGATATGGATTTCATTTCGAATAACAGTTGTTGCATTCTGTATTTTCCAATTTAGTTATGACCAATGAAAATACTCATTCTTTGCCTAGGTTTCCCTTAAATTAAACCATACTGAAACAGTGAAATTGCTTTTTTCTAATGACAGCATTATGAATACATATTTATTCCCTTATTATTTACCACTAGTGGCTGCTTTATGAATTACATGGTTTCCAAGCACTGAAACACTGGAAAAATAGGACACTTTTGCACTTAACTGGCGTGACCACCTGTCATCCAGATGTAAGGAAATACAGGACACTGTACAAAAGAACTTCAAATGTAAGATAACCAGTCTTCCAATCTATGCAGGTATAATTAAGATGATGACTGTTTGTGGACAGCTGGGTCTTATATTTCTGTCCCTGTTTCAGAATTAGTTTTGGTGTTTAAGCAGCCTCTTGTAATATTAAAATGAGGAGCAAGTAATACAGCTCATAAACCTGGTGTCAGAACTTTCTGAGCTCTGTTTTAATGACATAGGCGCAGTCTTATACACTCTTCTGACAGCTGACATTACTGCCATTAGAATTAAATGGCATGAATGACCATTTGAATACACAGGCTTGGGAATCTGTCACTAAATTTTGACCATGCAAGAAGTCTACACTGAACTCTGTTGTCATTTGTCTGCCAAAATAAAAGTTATGTAATCATAGATAAATACTTCTTGGTCTGCTTATCAGCTTTTTATGCCAAAACTTGACCTCAGTATAGTGTGATAAATAATGAGCAATCATACAACTGTACATTATGAAATAGGGCTGGGATAGCAGGGTCATATGTGGCTACAAACTGGACAACTGAGGTTTGATTCCTGAGACAAGTAAGATTTCTATTTTTGCTCTTTCCATGGGAGTAAAATGGCTGTAATGTGATGCTGCTGACCACTCACCTCCATCTAGTGTCAAAGTTAAGAATGTGTGGTGCTATACCTCCACTCCCCCATACATATTCATGATGTGCTGTTTAATGGAGCATAGAGCCAAATTTACCAATTTATTTACATTATTAAATATCAGCATCTAATAATAACTGATAACACCCATGATGTGTATGTATTGACCGTCTTCTAGTGCACACAGTCTCACTTGTCACTTCACTACATGTTTTGGCATCACTGTGCCATCCTCAGGTGTGTTATTTATGTTGAACTATTGCACTGCTCGCCATCATGTGTCATATATGAAATAATTTAAAATGTATATTTGTCATGTACTATAATAAAATTTATATATTAAAATTTGTTAAGATTTATCACCTTATACGTCATATTTCAAACTCTCGTATTATATCATTCTTCCACTATGGGAGTTGTTCTTCCTATATTTTGTGCATACTGTGTCTTGTGATGTGTCCTTCTTTTGTGGCTGCGTGTGTTGTAATCTTGGACGCAAATCAGTGCAACAGGACGCTAAAATACAATGAGCATTACAACGCACGCAGCCACAAAAGGACACATCACAAGACAGTATATACAAAATATAGGAAGAACGACTCCTATAGTGGAAGAATGATATAATACGCGAGTTTGAAATACGATATATAAGATGATAAATCTTAACAAATTTTAATATAGTACATGACGAATATACATTTTAAATCATTTTATATATGACACATGATGGCGAGCAATAGTTTAACTTAAATAACACACCTGAGGATGGCACAGTGATGCCAAAACATGTAGTGAAGTGACAAGTGAGATTGCGCACTAGAAGACGGTCAATACATACACATCATGGACGCGAATCAGTGCAACAGGACGCTAAAATACAACATAACTGAAAATGTGCTGGATAGTGAAATAAGGTCCTTTTCCTCTGCAAATTCTTGGAACTGTCTTTAAACTTTATATAATATGGAAGGTATATTCTGAGCTAGCTTTATAGAACCCAAGCAATACTATACTAAGGCCAAAGAAAGAATCCCACAGATCCAGTCTCCTCAACATCTCTGAGCTGTTACATATCTGTTTATTCCCCTCCAGTCATATAGCCATTCTGCTGGTTACATTCTTCTGTCTTCTAGAATCTAGCTATTCTGCTTATACAGATGTTGATGGTGATAACTACTTGATATCCTTTGCTAGCAACAAATACTTTTGGCTTGTTCATACTGGCCCTGGAAGGATGAAAGGGAATACAACATCAGGCAGAAAGATGGAAGTCCCAATTACACTCATCCCCTGCAACTTCTTTCTCTCTACCCTCCGTATATTGCACACCTTATAACAGCAGCTTTCAAACAATATGTTAAATAATTTTAAGCGTACATTTTCTTAAATTTCACATTGAACTTATCTTTCTGTTGTTTTTATACATTCTCACTTAACTTAATTTATTTTCTTGTTTTTTTATTTTGTGTTAATTGTTTCCCCTTTGCTTTATGTGTTGTTTCCAGGAACTAGCAGATTTTGAAAAGATGCCAGATGGACCTAAAATAGATGCATATGGTCAGTATCATTTAAGAGTATTAAACATACATTTGACTGCGAAGCATGTAAAAATGAAAGCCTCAAATCTTACATGTAAAAATGAAAGTTGTAAATTTTCGTAACAGAATGTTTGTTTTATAATATGATGGGAAAAATGGCTTCGTTACATATTATTATTATTAAATTTACAAGTTTCTCCGACCTCTAGAATAACTGACACTTTAAAATGCATAATTAACTGCAAATTAAATGGATTCCTACATGATTGAAAACCTTCAAAATCTGAAGCTGAAGACTTTCTTCAGTAGCTATTAACACTATAAACCTTTAAGGTGAAATCTTTAAGAACCCTATACCAGTGGCAACTGATTTTAATGTCTGTCCAACACATGATTGGTTTTAATGTATATCTAAATCTGGGGGAGCAAGAGAAACTACATTTTGTTACAGAAATTCACCATTATGCATAATTTCTGTGCATTTATTTGTTGTGATCATTTTCATTGTCTATCTAAAAAAAGTCCACTGTGTTACACTGACATTGTTTCAGGAACTGGCACATTATTCACAATGCCCAGAAGACACAGTAGTTGAAACTGACAGTAAGTATTATAGTGTGGGCATTCTCGTAAGTTCTTGATACTCAGAGTGACCATTGTTTTGGTTTTAGCTTGCCATAAAGAAGCAGCAGGGAGGTTTGAGTTTCACAAGTCATAAAAAATCTGCCATTTCCATTGTTTCTGATGACAGTACTGCTAGTTATAACATCATCATATAAATAACCTATATACATGTATCAAATCCAGTTTGATGTATATATGCATTCACAGAGAATAGAGTTCCTGACAAATGGCATTAATTTTGAAACAGCTGCATCACTCAGTAACACATATACATACTTTCACATGTTTTATAATTATACAAGCCTGTGTGTATGCATGTGCAAGTGCTTGTTTCTTGCACTCACAGAGTATGCAGACCCTAGGAAAAATATTGAAAAACTGTAGTATGTGCTATGAATGATATGTTTCATTCTTATTCTCCTGTATAAGCATGTTTTGAGTGGTATTTATTAAACTCTTTTTAACATAGAGGACATGGAGGAAAGAAGGAGGGGAGGAATCATAATAAGACAAAGAGAAGGGGTAGGAGTATGTGGAGGGAACAAGATAAAGCTGAAACAGTTTATATAACAAATGATGTGATGCCCGATTTAATTTTTAATGGTGATTACACCAAGTTATCGTACTAATTATCACCACGATTAAGAGCTGGTTTCTAGACTGTTGAAGTGTTTACAGTTTGTATATTTTTGCTTATGCGGATGCTGTTTGGCCTGTTGCAACCCAGAAATTCATTTTCAGATAATGAATCTTTAATGCACGCAGTTTGATTCTGTGGACGTGACATCAGCCCACTGCACAATCTTTGTCATTTCAAGATAACAAAAAAATGTGAAAAAATGTCCACCCCTAAATGAAATAAAAACATATGATGGCAGTAGACCATGCATACCTTGATCTAGACAGGCAATAGAATCGGTAGGATTTTCTTTTCTTTGAAATTGTATGTTGTATGAATTATTGTACCAAATTGGATGCTTACCAGAATATTAAAGGAACATATTCAGTATTATTCTGGTTTTAGCAGGGTTAATGAATCTTTAATGCACGCAGTTTGATTCTGTGGACGTGACATCAGCCCACTGCACAATCTTTGTCATTTCAAGATAACAAAAAAATGTGAAAAAATGTCCACCCCTAAATGAAATAAAAACATATGATGGCAGTAGACCATGCATACCTTGATCTAGACAGGCAATAGAATCGGTAGGATTTTCTTTTCTTTGAAATTGTATGTTGTATGAATTATTGTACCAAATTGGATGCTTACCAGAATATTAAAGGAACATATTCAGTATTATTCTGGTTTTAGCAGGGTTAATGAATCTTTAATGCACGCAGTTTGATTCTGTGGACGTGACATCAGCCCACTGCACAATCTTTGTCATTTCAAGATAACAAAAAAATGTGAAAAAATGTCCACCCCTAAATGAAATAAAAACATATGATGGCAGTAGACCATGCATACCTTGATCTAGACAGGCAATAGAATCGGTAGGATTTTCTTTTCTTTGAAATTGTATGTTGTATGAATTATTGTACCAAATTGGATGCTTACCAGAATATTAAAGGAACATATTCAGTATTATTCTGGTTTTAGCAGGGTTAATGAATCTTTAATGCACGCAGTTTGATTCTGTGGACGTGACATCAGCCCACTGCACAATCTTTGTCATTTCAAGATAACAAAAAAATGTGAAAAAATGTCCACCCCTAAATGAAATAAAAACATATGATGGCAGTAGACCATGCATACCTTGATCTAGACAGGCAATAGAATCGGTAGGATTTTCTTTTCTTTGAAATTGTATGTTGTATGAATTATTGTACCAAATTGGATGCTTACCAGAATATTAAAGGAACATATTCAATATTATTCTGGTTTTAGCAGGGTTAAGGCATTTGAGAGAATATTAATGAAATATGTTAAAATAAATTGATTGATAAGAAATATTAAAGAGCTATCATATTCATGCTTTGATATAGAAAAAATATCTCTCTCTTGATAATACTTCCATTGAATTGTATTTTATTTTACTGATTTACAAATGAGTTCAGGTATGTGTTTTATTTCTTGGCCTGAAAACCAGCAATCCTAACTGTTTTCTTTTGTGGTTGTTCACAATAGTACCTCAAATTAGGCCACAACTGCTTCCTTCCACATCCTTTCCAGTGCATTGTTCACTAATCATCGAACTGTCTGATACTATAAATACTGAGCAATTGACAGATTCGTTAAATAAACCATAAATATATCAAACGTGTGTCTTCTTTGAAAATACAAAAGGTGTAGAATTGTCCAGGAATGTTCCAAAAACATTGATTCCTTTAAACAGTTGGCTGCTTTTACATTTTTTTAAACAGGAATACAGAAATGCTTGAATAATTTTCCCATGCTAATATGTTTGACGACAGATCAGCAGATAGGCTTATTGATTTATGGCATCAACACAATTCTGCATAAAACAAAAATATTTGATGTTGCTATAGATTGTGCCAGAATGAGTACAGGCACAATTTTATATACGATGGGGGTACCCAAAAGAAACTGAACTAATTTTTTTGTGGGCAGAGCTTTTGTAGTACTGCGTTTTGCCGCTATGAGCACATAGAGCTAACATTCCTGAGTCGATAAGCCGACTACTGTTGCTTCAGAAGGTAAGGACTAGTTTCGGCAGAGTTTATAGTGACAACTGTTTTGTGTGATCGTCATTTTTGCAATCGCTGATTTTCGTGAACAGCGTGCGGCGGTGAAATTCTGCTTTTTGCTTGGGAAAAGTGGAACAGAAACTCTTGAAATGTTAAAAACGGTGTACAAGGATGATGCTATGGGGAAAACTCAAGTGTTTGAATGGTTTTCCCGTTTCAAAAATGGTGAAATGTCAATTGATGACAAACCTCGTTCTGGTCGTCCTTGCATGGCCCGAACACATGAAAATGTTGAAAANAAAAATTGTCACCGGTGACGAAACCTGGTGCTATGCTTACGATCCTGAATCAAAGCAACAATCAAGCCAGTGGAAGACTTCAAGTTTGCCTCACCCCAAGAAAGCTCGTCAGGTGAAATCAAACATGAAAACAATGCTGATTTGTTTTTTTGATGTGAGAGGAGTCGTCCATTCAGAGTTTGTTCCACAGGGTCAGACAGTTAACTTTCTACTTGGAAGTTTTGAAAAGATTGCGCAACAGTTTGCGGCAGAAGCGGCCAGATTTGTGGCAGTCGGGTGACTGGTTTTTCCATCATGACAATGCCCCTGCTCACACAGCCCAATCTGTACGACAATTATTGACCAAAAATGGTATGACCCCTGTTCGTCACCCTCCATACGCACCCAACCTTGCCCCGTGCGACTTTTTTTTTGTTTCCTCGAATGAAAAGAGACATGAAAGGAAAGCGTTTTGCTGATGTTGCTGAAGTGAAGGAAAAAACGACGGAGGCGCTGTCAAGCATCTCAAAGATGAATTTAGACAATGTTTTGAAAAATGGAGTAAAAGACTAGACAAGTGTATTAGTGTAAGTGGAGAGTACGTTGAAGGGGATTGAAGGTTTGTGCTTAAAATTTGAATAAGTAAGTTTAAAAAAATAAGTTCGGTTTCTTTTGGGTACCCCCTCGTATTTTAAGCCTTCCAACCTACACACTCAGAACTTATTTAGAATATTGCATCTTTTTCGTTTGGAGTTACTTGTCCTTTCAGAAGTTAAGTGAAATACATGTGCTGTGCCATCTCTCAGCAGTAAAAGTGAAAATTTTCTGATTTTGCACATTAGAAATTACATGTTACAAACAACATTTCTTTATAAGTTTTGAGGTTTTCATGGCGATGACTATGAAGAAAGTCGTCTTCTGGGTTTTGACGCCGTGTATTCTTCGTTTTGGCCGACGTTTCAGAGGAACGTATCGCGCCTTTCACTTCCTAATCATTACAGCTACTGCTTTCTGCATTCACAAGCCATTCACCTGCTCTGAAGATGGAGGTGATATGTTCCTCTGAAACGTCGGCCAAAACGAAGAATACACGGCACCAAAACCCAGAAGACGACTTTCTTGACATTTCTTTATGTTGTTGTTTCTTTGTTGGCCCTTGTTTATCATAGGTCCATCATTTATCATTATCATTTATTATTATATTGTCATATTATTTCTGTATTATTATATGCTTATTATTATTTAGTATTAGTATTAATATTAATCTTTGACTTGTCCCATATCATGTATAATGATCCATGGCTGAAATAAAATTGAATTGAATAAAGGGGCGCCTGTTCATGTATGGTAAAGTCTGATTAAATGCCTTGTGATAAAAATGACAGGAAATTAAAAACTGTTCACATGGTTACAGGACACACTTTACAAGCCTTCGTGCATTTCCTGACTAAGTATAATATCCAAATTTCCTTGCCAGGTTGGAAGATCGGTCCTGCTGGCTCTTCAACAAGCAGTTACTTTGAATAATAAATTCACCCAAGACACTAAATTTATTAAATTTTCTTTTGACAGTGAAATCATCTAATGTTAATGCTCTCTTAGATTTTCTGTGGCTTGCATAGGAATTAATTCTGTTTTGTTTTAAAACTATTTAGAATGTTAGTCTCCTAATATAGTCTACCATCTGCTTTAACACTCCAAAACTGCATTTTTACCAATGGAGTGTTTTTGTGTGTTGTGAATAACCACTGATTATTTCTTTAAACAAGCATTAACCTCTTTATCTTTGTAATGGAAATACCATGTTTTCCATGAGGTAGGGACTGAATCTATAAATGCTATTTAGATGCATTTCCAGCTTCAAAGAGTTAAATTAATGGATTTGTGCATGTGACACACACGTGCTGTATTGCAGTTTTGGAAGAAGACGGATTTAATTGTGAGCATCCATACTTCCACTGTTTTGTTGCTGAACCATCTTCCAAAGATGGTGGTGATGCAATTGTTCCAGATAATGGTGGAGAGTTGTCTGATACAGGTAAGAAAAAAAGATTATTATCATTGTGCTTAAGTGGAAAATAAAATCAGAATAAATGATTAACCTTACTGATATGTACCTATTCAATCTTTCATAGCCTTTATTATACTAACATTCCCCTCCAATACACATGTGCAAAAAGAATAGTTTGTCACTTTGATTATGGTCTACAGTTTCCATTCCTGTTATTCCCAATGGTTTGTCCTGTGTGCAAATGCTTGAAAGATTTCTCTGTCACATTTCTTACAGCATATAGTAATATGTTTCTTGACTGCTTCTGGGTGATATGCTTCCATGCCTTGTATGTATGTGCATGCTGCAAGCTGACTTCCTTCCATTGCCCAATGTATATTAACATCTGGTGGTTTCAAAGAATCTCCCTGTCCTCATAATGTATCTGTTCTACATATATATTGTATTCTGTTGAAATCAATGGGAACATTTCATTGCTGAAAAACAGATGAAATATGTATGCATATTGGAGAGCTGTCTTCAGTAAAATGTAAATTTAATTTGCTCATTGCAGGCCAGTAAATAAAGGTTTCCTTAATTTTTTCCTCTCGCTCCCACTTTGGAGGATAGGGCCGATTTCTTAGTTTTACTGATCATTTTTTTTTACAGAGGGTAGGGCTCCTTGGTTGGCTGATCAGCTCATCACAAGGCCTCTATCTATACATAGGACAACACAAACACAGAATAAACGCATACACACACCAGACATCCATGCCTTGTGTGGGATTCAAACTCACAATCCCGGTTTCCGGCGAGCAAGGACAGTATATGCCTTAAGACTGCTCAGCTACCATGACCAGCTTCTTTCATTTAATTTCGTAAAATTTGTTATGTACCACTACTTGCCCTCTTTTGTCCTAACTGCAGTTTTGCTTCAACACAGGTTATTTTATCTTCTCTCGTGCATCTGGTGATTAAATATTTCAAATCTTCATTGATTTCCTCTTCTCATGTAGTAAAGAAATAAAAGTAACATATTTGTTCATTTACATTCTTCTGTCCATATGACAGTTTAGAAGACCAAATTCTTTTGGGTAAATTTTGAGCACACTTGGGACTATGTTGGAAACTCAAGAGTTGTTCATTTTTGTCTGAACACAAGATGGAAGGGGGGGATCATAAATTTTCCCTTTACCATTTTCTCTAACTTAACATTTAGAAAGTGTGAAATGAAAACAGCATCCAAAGAATGCTCTGGGATTTGAACTCATCCATTTTCAGATATGTTTTTATGTTTCTGGGCTGTAAGTCATAGAGTTTTCGAAGATATGAAAGACTGACTGACACTTATGAATTATTACATACATTTAGATAGGAAATTTTATATGTATTTTTATATAAATAGTAAGTAATAATGTTTTATAAAAATGTGTATTTTTATTTCGAAGTGACCATAAAGCATAACCCCATTTTATGTCTTCATAGGAGCATGTGGAGGTTCAAAGGAAAGAGAAGGTGATAATTTGAATGGAAATACATTGTTAGGATATGCACTCTATTTTTATACTTACTCGACTTGGAAAGGGAAGGCGCTGTACTTGGAGGATCTTTATGTAACCCCTGGGTGTCGAGGGCAGGGCCTGGGATCAGCTTTATTTAACAGAGTAGCTAAGGTAGGAAGCTGTAAGTATTATGTTTTCAGTGCATGACAATATTAAATATTTGTTCATGTTGAAAATTATAAATGTGCCTGTGGTGGAAAGTTCAAGGTCATATGATGCCATTTCATATAGTGGAAGTCAGTACTATCATAATTACGAGGGGCAGTCAAAAAATTCCCAGAATGGTGGTATAGCACTCTAATGGTAGGACATATGGCAACACTTACCTAATCACCTTCAAAGTAGGACCCTTGTGCGCACACACAGTTGCTCCATCGATCCTGCCATTGTTGGAAGCAGTGGTGGAAGGCTTCTTTTGGAATCTTCTGGAGCTCAGCCTTCGCATTTGATTTGATATCCTCCATGGTTGTGAAATGTGTCCCATTGAGGCCCATTTTCAGAGTAGGGAACAGCCAAAAGTCACTTGGAGTGAGATCTGGAGAGTACGGTGGTTGAGTGAAGACGGGAATGTTTTTCTTGGCGAGGAATTGCTGCACAATAAGCGACGTGTGGCTCGGTGCGTTATCGTGATGCAGAAACCACTGTCCCTGCCACTTGTCACGCCACTTCCTCCAAACCGCACTGCGCAACCTCTGCAAAACTTGCACATAGAAATGGCCAGTAACAGTCTGTCCAGGTGGTGCACCAAACCGTCGATGTCAAAGAATGCAATGAGCATCACTTTGTCTTTGGATCTAACGAGGCGTGATTTTTTGGCCAGGGAGATGATGTTGTGTGCCACTCTGATGACTGCATCTTTGTCTCTGGGTCATAGGCAAACACCAATGACTCATCACCAGTGACGATCTTTTTGAGAGACATTGGGTCCTGCGTACTTTTGTCAAACAGATCGCCAGCAACCATCATGCGACATTCCATCTGATCTGTGGTCAGCTGCCTTGGAACAAACTTCACACTGATGCGTCTCATCTTCAAATCATTGGACAAAATGGCATGAATGGATCCATGAGAGATACCAACTTCTTGCTCCAACTCCGCAGTGGTCATTCTTCGATCACATCGGATCAGTTGTCACACTTTTCCAATCATTTCTTCGGTTCTGGATGTTGAAGGTCTCCCGCTGCACTGGTCATCCTCTAGCATCTCCTGCCCATTCTTAAACTGGGAAAACCAGTCGTAAACTGCAAATTTCTTTAGTGTAGTATCACTGTAAACTTGCTGCAGGGCCGATTGCATCTCTGAAGCAGATTTTCCCAATTTTCCCATGAACTTGATGTTCACATGCTGTTCGAACTGCAACATTGCACTGAATGACCAACACTCACATCTAATTCAAACGAAACAGTAACGACACTGCACACTGAAACCTGTCCAGATCTGTTGCGCCTGTGAGCAGACATGCTGAGCTCCCCACCACAACAGTGTGTGCACTATCTTAATGCTCGTTCTCCATCTGCAGGGGAATTCCAGAAACTTTTTGACTGCCCTACATATATGCAGAAGTGGGTCACTGAGTTGTAGAATCCTTCATGTAAAATATCCACTTGCCTTTCCATAAGCATACAGTTACATGCACAGAAATGTGCATGTCTCATTTTTCACAATGTTTAGTGTTTCACAGAAATAATTTCAAGTTTTGGTATGTAAATCCCCCCACATGCAAGCTGCTATGTTAGCAGAATCACAGGTGGGCAGCATAGACAGGTTGCAGTGTATATTTTATATTTGATTTTACAGAGCATGCAGTTACACTTCAGTTGACTTGCTTGTTTATTTCAGAGGGCTTTTGAGTCCCATTGCTGTCGATTAGATTTTTCTGTCCTCAATTGGAATCCAGCTCAAGACTTCTATAAGGCAAAAGGTGCAATTAACATTACAGAAGAGGAAGGCTGGCATCACTACAGACTTGATCGTGAAGCTTTGGTAAAGCTAGCACTAGAAGTAAATAAGGCTGATATCACTAATGAGTAGAATTCTTATCAAGTTATCAGTTATATATATATATAGAAGTAGGGCTTGTTTCATGATACATACTAATTAGGTTCTGACTACTCTGTGGAAATGCAATTTCATCTTTTTTATATAGCTATTAATATCAGTCCTTATCAGGGTTTTTTTTAAAGGTACAGAACGCTATGCTGTCCTGGCATCTCTATCATAAAAATAAGATATATGCCAATAAAGATTATATAGTAATGGAGGTTAACATGATGCTAAACTTTTTATATAGTTATTACCGCTCCTTACTTAAAATAAATCTGGTGATACTTTGCATCAAAAAAAAAAAAATCAGAATATCAACCCTATTCTATATATTTGCCTTGCATTTTTCTCTATAGAAAAAGAGAAGGCTGGTTTTTCTTACCCTTGTACAGTATCCTAACAAAATCAATTTAAAACATTGGATGGTTTGGCACATCTGGTTTACATTAAGGAGAGATCTGGTTCAAATCCTTATTTTTTCTCAGTCCCTCCAAGTGAATGACACACCTCATTCATCATTCATAATCATACCATAAGATCCCTCCTCAACATCCTGTTCTCAAACACCCTCAGTCTATGTTCTTTCCTTAATGTCAGAGACCAAATTTCATGCCCATACATAACCACAGGCAAAATTATAGTTTTGCATATTCTAATTTGTATGTTTTTAGACAGCAGACGAGAAGACAAAAGGTTCTGGGCTAAATGGTAACAAGCATTACCTGAGTTCAGTCTCCTCTTAATTTCCTCCTGGATCGGTTTTGATTTGTTATTGTTGTCCCCAAATATCTGAACTGTGCCACATTTTCAAAACATCTGTTACCTGTCTTTATGTCATGATTTTGCCCTGCATTCTGGTGATGAGACAGCAACATATACTAGTTTTCTCTGTTTACTTCTATACCAACCTCCTTATTAGTGTCAATTAAAGTTTGTGTGTTTTTCTTTATGGTATCTATATTATCATCCAGTAGATTCACTTCATCAGCACAGACAAGCAGCTGATGTGCCAATTTAATTCCAGCCCCACCTGGTTTTCCTGGACCTTCCTAATGGTATTTTCTAAAGTAAAGTTGAAAAGTAGTGGCAATAAAGCATCTCCTTGCTTTAGACCATTCTGAGTTGGAAAATTATCAAACAGATGTTTACCTATACAGCCTTTACTATACATTTCATTTAAACACACTTTAATCAGCCTAACTAGTTTCATGGGTACCCCAAACTCTATGAGAATATTATAAAATATTTCACTTCTAACTGAATCCTAGGCTTGTTTAAGTCTACAAATAGCAGATCTACTGCCTCATTGTACTCCAATTTATTTTCCAGTATTTGAAGAATTTAAAAGATCTGATCAGCAGTTGATCTGTTACATCAAAACCCACATTGATTATCCCCAATAATTTCATTTATATATGGACTTAACCTTGAGAGAAGAATACTGGATACAATTTTGTATGAAATTGATAGCAGTGATATCCCAGGATTTATCCAAAGAATGTGTCCAGGTCTGAGGTACTTTGTGACATTTCATAACAAGCTTATTTTTATGGCGAGGAGTTGTTAGCCCCATGTCCAACTTCCAAGCTGGAGGACCACCCCTTGACGGCTGTCCACGACTGCTTATTCATTATATTAGCAGCTACCCTCCATATCTGGAGGCCGTCTTCTCCATCATTAACCTCAGGACACCATGCCGTGTTGACAAGGGACCCTCCTAACACAGGCAATATATGATGGGATATTACATATTTTCAAATAAGCCACAACTGTCTTCATATTTAGCTTATCATTTCTCACCACTCATGAACCTTACAGTTGAGAAACATCATTAGAAACACAAATAATAACTGAAGATTCTAATATTACTTTAAAATTTTAACTTCTAAGATTTGTACTGTTTTAAGTAGAAGTACTGTGAATACAAACAACTTACCACAATTTACAAGTTACCTAATCACTTTTTATATAAGAGATCTATACAAAGTACTTATTTGACAAATAGTCCATAATGGTTTTGTAATTTCATATTTCAAACCATAATTATTTACACTGTGTTAAGTTGGCCCCTTGCTGCAATGGCATGGTGTATCCTCAGACTTCAGAAGGGGACTGCATCCAGATATGGAATGTAACCATGAATATGGTGAATAAACAATTTCTGGTTGCTGACAATTATAACACCGAGCCTGGGGGTTGGGCAGGAGCTAACAATCTCTCACCATAAAATATTTTACACTGTGATATGTTTCACAGAGCCTTGGGCTCATGCTAAATTTCAAAGGTGGGCTCTTATGAACATAGAAATAACCTTTGATTACCACAAAAGGCAAGGAATTTCTTGCTTTGCTGAGCTACTATCATCTTTTCAAGAAGGCATCTTTTCCATGGAGTTCGATAATTAGTATTTACCATCATTTTTTAAATAATTGAATTCACCTTCCTATTGCCATATTTCCAGGAATGTAGATCCTATGATGGCAGATAATGTAAATTATATTCTGTCATAGGCTCACATACTTAAATTTCACATTTGATTATAGAATCAGGTAAATTTGGCTTCAACACAACACAGGATTTGTAAAGAATATGAAGCATAAAATAATTCCATGTATGTTGTACAGGGTTTTGTTCCTGCACTATTAAACTAGTGAATTTTACATTGGGGTATAATTACATTTCACAGATTTCCAGTACCTTGTGTTTTCATTTTGATGTAAGGTAATTCAAATCTGTATATTTAACTCCTAAGAATGTTGTAACAACAGTGCTTGGACACAGATGTAATTTTACCTCTCTGTGATGTTTAACTTGCTCATTATTTCAATGTTACTTCACTTATATTTTATCGTGCATGTTTTTTCTCATGTAGTGCCATATTTTAAAGCAGAAGACATACAATAAATGCTGTACTTTAAACTTAACTTCTGTGTAACATAATAAAGCACTGTGTAATAATAAATGTTGGTATACTTTGTTTGGCAGCAGAATTACTTAGAAATTTCATGCCTGAATTACCAAAAGGACAAATACAAATATGTGTTTCAAAATAAGATGTGATAACCCAGTCATTAATTAGACTGACTAGGGCTGGGTTACAAATTCAAGTATTGGCACTGGAAATGGTCTCTTCTGCATGTACCAATGTGGTGTGCATGCTATGGGAGATCTTTCTCCCCAAAACTGAAAGAAATGCTCTTGGAATGTAAAGCATGTAGTAGCGAAATACGAGTTTTATGTTTAAGTTCATGACATGGGTAGCTTTACAAGNTGGCCGTTTTCCCGTATTGTCCGATCGAGGCTACATAGGGAGCAGCGAAGGCTATTCACAGTTAGTTCTAGTGTGGCTACCAGCGAGCTGTACTAAGTTGTACTACTGAGTTGTACTGTGACAGCCGCCGAGTCGAGACGTAGAGTCAGCCAGTCAGTTGTATTCTGGCATTTGGAGTGTACTAATTGTGATACTGCAGGTAGCAGTAATCGTCAGATTGTAATTTGGGTGATTGTGAGAGCGAATGTGAAATAAAATTCGCTACATCGAATACATCGAGAATTTATTTGTCGCGATATAAGCCCGATACGCGACAATATATATATATATGAGAATATAAGGAACATCATTTTTGACTCTACAGTGTGATACGTGTACAATAATTAGCTTTGCAAAAATAGATTTAATTCTGAAATAAATGAATATCAAGGGTAATGAGGTTATTAAAATTGTGAAGAACGAATTAAAAAATATTTCTCTTCCATTTGAATATACCTTTGTGATCATTAATATATATTGCAAAATGGCTGTTCAGAGACCATATAGCTCTGCCCATTTGTACATGTCTCTGGAACTGTTTTAGCATGTCTGTCTGTTCTACTCCATCAATAAATAGTGTCACAGCTGAAATGGGTAGGCCTACATATAGAGTTTAATTGTAAACCTTTCTTCCACTGGCTGCCATGTACATCAGTAGGTACATAAGATTTGCAGTTCTTACAGCTCTGCTTGCAGTCTGCTTCATACTGATTCCTTGCTTGGTTTATTCTTCAAACCTCGACATGGAGGCAACATGTTCCTCTGAAATGTCAGTTGACTTTCAATGGCCTATATGGCGTTCTATCCTGGAAGATAGAATACTTCATTAATAGGTATGATTAACAAAAGAATCCACTATTGTCATGCCATATTAACTGAGATAGATGGCTACAGGATGGACATCAAGGGTTTGATCCCCATCAGGGCAAAGATTTTTCTTTTTGCTATGATGTCCAGACCAGATCCATTCAGTCAATATTAGGATATTTCTCTGGGGTCAAAATCTGCCAGGAAATTAAGCCAACTATTCATTTATTTGTAAATCATCATTGAGGTCTAGTATGCTTGAAATTTTGCACTCGCATCTTTCTTGCCATAGTGCTTAAAGATCCAAGAATAGTTTAAAATATTATGCATCACAAGGATTAGACTGACACAAAGATACAAAGTATGTTTCCTAGGATTCTGTGGTCAGGTTGATGTAGTGTTAATGCTCTAGACTTGAATTTGGGGTGTACTCTCTTTGAATTGTGGCTATGTTTCTGGTTATACTGACTTATTTCACGTGATTTTCCTCAGTGTCCCTAGGCTAATTTCATGATTCTACCTTCAGATAAGTCACTGCAGCCTTCAAAATTCTTATCTACCCAGCATTCGTGAACAGATTCTCATATCATTTCATGTTACATAACCAGTGAATATATTGAATGTCACTGGTGAATGGTCAGACCTAATCCTATTTCATATTCAGCCAGCTGCAGACCTGAACCTTGACCCAGAAGCCACCTGTTCTGAGGCTTTTAGGTTTTTTTTCCTCAACTTTACCACATGAATTCTGGAATAGTGCCCTAATCCTTTCATTTCCAAGTCATCAGGAAAGAGTGAGTTTCTGTGGAGTAGTGGTCTTGTCAACAGTACAGGAATGACGATGACATGGGAAAAATAAGCTTATTTATGTTCTCACATGCTTCTTTAGTCTTCTGCATAATTGTGCATCAGGGTTTAACGACTTCTTTCCACATCTCTTCAGATTCATCATTCACAATAACATCATTCCACACTAACAACTTATGCACCTGAAAAAATTTCACGAAAGAATTCAAGAGCAAATGACCATTGTAGTTCAAACAACGTTATTAAACTCCAAAATAATAAAAAAATTATGGTCCAGATGAAGAGATCTGTCTTCAAGGATACAACACTATCTAGTCCATTGAAAGTAAATGTTTTGGAGGAACATCTCCATCTTCAGGGTTGGAAAATATGCCAAGCAAGAAACCAGCATGAAACCAGGTGGTTAGCAGAGCTCTTTGCTTATTCTTCAACAGTGAAGATGAAGGTAATACGTTTCTCCAAGACATTGGTTCACTTTCAATGGACCACCTGGTACATACCCCAGAAAATAGAAATCTTCATAAGCACTGCTGTGAGAACCCCTTCTCATGCATTTGGAATGCTTTGAAGGATACATTAATGTCATAACTAGGGCTTGGATTTCTATGTCCTAAAAACTTTGAAAATATGCATGCATTTATGCCCTAAAAATGGCAAAATATGACCTAAAATATGACAGAATGGCCCACAAAAAATAAGTAAATATTTAACAAAAATTCCTAAGAATGGCAATTTATTAAGAAGTTTACAAAGTTATTTTGTCCTGAATAAATATCTTTAAGCTCTGAAGCATCGATCACAGCACATTGCTGACCCCATAAAGAGAAAAGCTGAATGGCGTTTTATTGAAAAGTGTACAAAGTTATTTTTTCTGAATAAATGTCTTTAAGCCGTGAAGCATCCATCACAACACAATGCTGACCCTGTAAAGAGAAAACATGAACGAAAGTATTGTTTATTTTAGCGTGAAAAGTAAAGTAAAGTGTGCTAATAGTTGCAGGTAAATAATTTGTACGGTACCTTAATCTTCCTTTTCAGTAGAGTTGCACTGAATGACAACATGCATTTTCAAATTCTCGAACTTGAAGGACCTCCGATTGTCACTAACAATGGCCTTGTATTTGGAGAAACTCCTTTCTACGTCGCAAGATGTCACAGGGGCATACTTAAAACAAGTCAAATCACTTGCGTCAAGTTCTAATTCACTGTTGTCAAATTCAACTTCTTTGCCACAAAGAATGTCAGAAATTGTACACAGTGTTGAATATCCAGGATTTCGTTGGAGCACATTTTGTAATTTTGCACTAATTTTCACAGCAACTTCGCCCTGTGCTTGATGTAGTTCACTTTCAACTTTCTTAACAATTTGTAATGCATTGCACAGTTGCATGCCCACAGCTTCAAGTCTAATGATGGATTTTGATATCACACTGAAATTTGATTTCATGTACGCTAGATTTCTTGACGTGGTTGATGAAAACAAATTTTGTACAGTTCGAATTGAAGATGAATCATCTCTGTCAAACTTCATGAAGATATTTTCAATCACACTGTAGTGTGTGCAATAATAATCTGCAGCATCGAGCCAAGTCCCCCATCGTGTTAGAATAGGCTTAGGGGGAAGGGGTAGTGATGGAGCCTCTTCTTTAAACTTCTGCAATCGAAGTGGAGCCTTAACAAAAATTTTCTTCCCATTTGCTATTAATTTATCTACATCAAAGTAGCTCTCTCGCACCTCTTCTGCTACCCTATGCAGAGCATGTGCGAGACACGTTGCATGAATCATTTTGGGATACAGTACCTGAAGTCCCTTTGCTGCCTTTACCATATATGGAGCGGCATCCGTTAAGAAGAGGAGCACATTCTCTCGTTCTACCTTATTTGGCCACAGCAAATTCATCGCATTGTCGAAAACAACAGCAATGGAAGAATTATTCACTTTTTCCAACACCTCACATGCCAATAGGAATATATCTCGAGGCTGGTCATCTTTCAGTATACCAACAACAACATTCGCTACAAATCTACCACTTATGTCGGTAGTTTCGTCGATAGACACCCATATTTTATTATTTCCGACACAGTTTCTTATTTTATTGATGGTAACATCGTAGCAGGAAGTGAGATTGTTCTTTCTTAATGTGGATTCGGTCGGAATGGAATGAGTTGTATATTTTTCGAGGAAGTTTCGGAAACTAGGTGTATCTACTTTATGTAATGGATTATAATCCATTTTCAAAGGATATTTCTACTGTGATGGTTTTATCAAATAATTATTTGATAAAACCATCACAGTAGAAAGATCCTTTGAAAACTGGGAGGCATTTCCTGATTTCGGTGAACTGGAGGATGACTTTTCAAACAACAATCGCTGTCTACTTTCCATGGTAATTTCTCTGTTTACACAGCTTCTATGTTTAGCTGTATTGCAGTGTTGTTGCACCGTAAAACGTTTGTCTGCCGTAACTTTCACTTCACACATTTTGCAAAATAAAATTTCTCCGTCAGTACTAAAATATTTGTCACCAAACTCTTTAATAAAACCACGCAACTTCATGCTATTAGAGCACTTGACTTTAGGCATCTTGAAACTATACTGAACAATTGAAGTTATGAATACAGTACTGTATTGGATGGGTTTCAGGGAGAGGGTAGAAATTTACCGCTTTGTGGATGGAAAAATTTTTCACCAATATGCAAGAAACAAACTGGACTTCAGGTATCACTGCAGTGGAGGAGAAAAAGAGACACAGACAGACAGACAGACAGACAGAGGCAGAGGTGGCAATTTCTCTTTTCAAAGTGGTTGATTCTACGCCAGGTCAAGAACCATTACCCTTCACACTGTACAGTATTCCTTCAAATCCCATTACACAAGGCCAAATATTTCTAAGAAATTAAGTTCCAAATAACATCGTTGCCAATACTTGCAAATATATTTCTGAGCAATAAGTGAAACTCGCCTAAAATATGATTTTATATCACTTCGGGCCCAAATATGATCTAAAGCTAAAATATGGTTCAAATATGCATTTATATGACCAATAAAAACTGTATATTCATGTTCACAAGAGTCAGAAATGCGTTTATATTTAATTATACATGTGAAAAGATGCCAGGATAAAAATATCACATCATAGAAATCCGGGCCTTAGTCATAACATACATTTTAAAAACAAATTACTTGGAAAGTCAATAATGCAGTGAAGATGTTCTGAACAGTCTTGACAGACTGCAAAATAAGTGTACACCCCATTCTATACAGACATTCTGCACAGATTCATTTTCCATTTGGGTTTCAAATCATATCTAATACAAGGTGCTACAATTTAATTCCTGGAATGACCCTATGAAAGCAAAATTTGCTTACCTGTGTACTGGCAACTACAGTCGCCTTTGAAATACTATCCTTGTGAAGCTATGCACTTCATGATAGAATGATGCCATGGCCGGAAACAGTCTTGAAAATCATTCTCCAGAATACCTTGCAGTAATGTTGTCATGTTGTGATGGATGTCAGGAATGTCAGCAAATCTTTGTCCATTCAGGGCATTTTTTAATTTTGGAAAGAGCTAAAAATTGCAGGGGGTTAAGTCAGGTAAATAAGTTGGATGGTCCATTTTGTAATGAATTTCTTAGCCAGGAACTCATGAACTCTTAATGCATCATGCACAGGGGTACTGTCATGGTGGAGAATCCACTTGGCAGACCAGAGTTCGGGTCTTTTCCTCCGAACAGATTCCAATAACCTTGTCAACACTTCCAAATAACACTGTTGATTCACCACTTGTCCTTGTGCAGTGAATTCATAGTGAATAATCTCCTTGTGATCAAAGAAACACGCCACCATGTTCTTAAACTGCGAGAGAGACATGCGTGCTTTTATTCGGCTGAGCTGAATTCTGTGTTTTTCACTGTGTGCTCTCTTTGTTTCCGGGTCATATTGAGAACACCACGTTTCATCACTGGTAATGACCCTATCAAACATTTCTGCATTGTGTAAAAGATCAAATGAAATGTAAAGCCAACACTGTTTCTGGTCATCTGTCAAGATTCAAGGCATCATCTTTGTGGAAAATTTTCTCATTCCCAAATCCTCCATAATAATCTACTGCATAGTTTCCCTATTCAATTCTTCTGCTATTAGTCTCACACATAATCTTCGATCTGAGTGCACCAAGGTTCGTATTCTGTCCACATTTGCGTTTTCAGCAGCCCACTTCCTTGAACTGCCTCTGCCATTCAGAAACACTTGATTTCTTCACAGCATATTCACCACAAGCCACTGTTAATATGGCTAACGTTTCACTAGCACTTTTACCAATCTTCACACAAAACTTGATGCTTATCCTCGGCTCCAGGTTCTTGTCACTCATTTTTCCGCTAACAGTATACCACAGACACGTACTGTTTCTTCAGCTGCTTGGGAACAAATGACTCATTTGGTCCATGGGTCATGTAAACGCAAGTTGGGACATGTCCAAACGTGCTTGGGTACACGAGTTTGCCCGACTCAACATTCTAGCAGCACTCTGCGGCCATTCTGGGAATTAAATTGTCACACCTTGCATATTCCTGTTTATTTCCCAGTAGAGTGTACTATTAAGGTGACTAAGCGCACGAGGCATATACAGCAGTTGGACAAATAATGGAAACATTGGACCACCTCTAGCTTTCAATAGAGCCTCCTTGGAATTGACTTGTACAAGATATGAAAAGTCTCTCGTGGAATTTTTTGCCATTCCTCTTGAAGAACATCTTCAAGTTGCTTTAGAGACGTTGGAGGTGGGAATTTGTACCTCACTCACCACTTACAAAAGTGGTTCAGTGATGTTCAAATCTGGTTATTGTGCTGGCCAGAGAAAATGTTGAAGTTCACCTTAATACTCTTCAACCATAACTGCACAGTTCTACTCATAGTTGTGTGAATGGGGACACTGTCATTTGAAAAAACTGCATTGTTATTCATAAATAACATCTTGATCATGGGATATACATTACCCAACCTGTCCATGTACTCCACTGCAGTAATTCAGCCATGAAGGCTAATAATGGGACCAACAAAATACTGTACCATGTTATTGCTGCCCAAACCATCACTGTTGGAATCGGGCAATCCAGACTGTAGGCTTGCTTGGGTGTTCTCCAAACATTAACTTTTCCTAATATAGAGAGAACAGCATGAAGAATGAATTTATGAGTGGAAATTCTTTCTTCCATAAAATTTCAGAAGGGATATGACTCTGGCTGTAACAGGATGGACTTCCTTGTCATGGACCAGAGTGTTGCTGGAGAATTCTACAAGAAGAAGGGTGCAGTTGACATTACATATAATGGAGGTTGGCATCACTATAAATTATGCAAAGTCAATGAAAAGTCTTTCTCTTGAGATACGGCATTGTGGAACAGACAAATGAAGATACACTACATTTGACTACTCAAAGTACTTAAAATGAGAATCTAATTAGAAGTCATGATTATTGTCAGTATTTTATTTGTAGATGAGAGACTGACAATGCAATAAAACTACTTTCTCTTGTAGTTGACCCTCTTCTACTATTTGTGCTTAGCGGTTGAAATGTTTCTGTGCATTTAATCTAGGGTATTAGACATTTGACAGGACTCCTAAAAGGGGGGGATCTACCTCTATTCACATTAATTTGTTACTTTAGACCTTTAGTATGATAGGTTCTCTGTCCCTTCCTGAAAATTTGCATAAATCATGAATTAATAGGGAAGTATTTAGGTGTATAAATGTAGCAAAGCCAATGGAAATGAGGCAAAATTCAAGTACCTGGGAATTACAGTAACAAATTAACATAGTATTCCCAAAATTAAAATCAAACTAAATTAAGGAAAGGCTGTCTACCATTCAGTTCACAATGTTTCATATTTTGTGTTCAGTATAAAACCCTGCACAAAACTTCACTACTAACAAATTTATACATACATGGAACTTTGTCTCTTACTCTAAGGGACTGAAGTGTCTGGAAACAAGGTGCTGAAGAGAATATTGGACTTCAGAAAGAGAAATAACAGGAACATGAAAGGAATTATATAATTTGTATTCTTAGGTCAGTGATGTAGATTTGATTAAATAAAGGAAAACAGATGGATATGGCATGTAGCATGCATGGGAACATCAGAGCAAAGACAGCAAGAAACTAACATCTAATTTCCATATAGTGCTGAGGTTAATTGCTTTATCTCATATGTCTTCACCCTTATTTACCTATTTATGAACAATATTTAAACACAAAATAATTTGTTCTAATTATCCATGTATTTGTGTGTATGTTTCAAAATTGTATTGTAACATTATGAGAAATTTGAATTTTGACACATTTATGATGAGTATAAAGCTACTGTAATTATAAACACAAAGGTATTTATGCTGAGGCAATAGAATAACTAATTCTTTAGCCTTGTGTATAAAATAATATAAGTCTAATCCGTCTCAAAGGGAAAAATATAATTTAAAAGCATAGTGCAACACTGTTTTGGAGCAGTTACAGTTTGTCTAGTCACACAATCTTGATGTTGACTGGTCTAGTTCACCACTTTTCACTCACAAACTTACAACATTGCATCTTGCCATACTGGTTCATGAACACATGGATGCATATTGTTACATGTTTTGCTGTTCAGATTGTTAATTGGTTTATTTAACAACCTACAAGTCATAACTACAAATACTGATAACACTGTTACGGGTTTACACACTCTACAAACCCTACACAATAGTCTCTTCACTCTATCTTCAGTATAACACACGTTCCATTCTTCCCGCGACTGCTGCTGTTTCAACTGATGTCTTTTTCACGTTCACAATTCACTTGCTACAAGTGAACCCGGTGACTGCTACATTTTAACTGACTGCTTAGGCATTCCAGTTCTCTTATAAACCTTCAGCCGGACAGCGGAAAACGCACTTTGCTTTCCTGTTGCGTATTCGCTGTGTTTACAGGTGTTGCAGGGCAACGCTGCTGAGAGTTGCTTATTGCCGTGTGGCAACCAGCATGTTTCGGCTTGGAGAAACACCGCTTTCCTTACTGTTGTGTAACCTCGTTTCCACTGTTGCATAACTTGGCAACCGACCGTTTATCAAGGGTCTGTCTTCATGGTAACTCATTCCATCTCCTGTTGCCCAGCAACGGTTAGACATGTCACAATATGAACACTCAATGCAGCTTATATGCTCACAGTCACTCAACAATGGTGTCCCTCAGCCTGCCTGTCTAGCATGTC